GACAGTCAATGCTCGGGAGACCAATCTAATCACCCACGGGCAAGGGTACCAGAGCGCGCCCTGCGTCAACCACTTCCTAAGAATGCTGCCAAAAGTGCGGCTCCAGCTAACCAGCCTGAAGCCAACAGTGAAGGTGAAGACGGAAGCGAATACGAGGATAGCAGCGATGATTATGATCCCCAAGCTCCCCCGCCCAGCAACGTTCCCCTGTCCACCAAGGGTTCGCACACAGGCGTAACACCTGCGATGAGTGAGACAAACCTTGATGAGTCTTCGTCTAGCAATGACCCATATTCCCTCTCAACCAGAAATTCCTACGCAAACAGCCCGGAGGTAAGTGATACTGGTTCCAACAAAGCTTCATCTGGCGACGAGTTTTATTCCGTCGGAACAAAGAATTCACACACAGGTATTAGTCCCGAGATGAGTGATTCCAGCCTCAGTGAATCTCAATATGAATCATTCCCAGATTCAGAAGAAAGCTCTTCTCTCCTGAGTGCGTCTGGTATAGGTGAATACAATACCGATGGAGATGACTATAATGGAGCTGACGACGAAAGCCTCGACCTGGATCAGGATGACGAAATCCTAGATCTGGATGAAGTAATGTATGATGCGGAATATTCCAGCGGATGGTCGAGCACTTCTAGCGACAGGAGACGCCGGCGTTCTCTAGATAGTCAAGCTCAAGCCGATGCTGAACACAGAGGTCTTTATGGATCCAGAGGCAGTAGCGGCAGCAGCAAACGCCAGCGTCTTGATGATTCATTCGACACTGCAAGTGGGAGAGTGAGAACCGGCATCGAACTGACCGTGGAGGACGTCACCAGGTACAGAAATAAAGGAGCCCAATACCAAGCATGGATTGACGACCCAGAAGAGCCAGGGTGCCAAATCCAACCGGCAACATTAACTATAGAGGAGATGATTGATAAAAAACAACAGGTGCCTTGGAAAGTCCATGAATCTTATTTCATAGCCGAGCCTATGGCACTACAAGGCGGCGATGTCGAGTCGATGAATATTGATCGAGGCGGTCCGCGATACCGCTACACACACCTCCGACAGGATCCGGGGCCAAACACACTCGAAGCTAACGAATTCGAACATCGGGTTACTCGGGGTATTATTATTGCCGAGAGACTCTATAGGGAAGACGGTCCTCATTGGAATGAGGTCGCTCGAGCTCAATACTTGCTTGATTTTAATTTGAATACTCTGAGGCATGTTGTCTTTACTGATATCGGGAACGAAGAAACAGGTCCATATATACGACACGAACTATACCCTAGATTGGGTGTTAGGTGGTCACAGGCAAGAGACGTTGAGTGTATGAAGTTTGAGCATGGTAGTGCTGAGTATCAAGAACTCCTCGGGACAAAGTTGGGTAAAGCTATGGCTTGTCTTATCCTTTCTTCATTCCCTAGGGGTACGATGAAGATCACTCGTATTGCCACTTGGTGTAATTCGACTGCGCCGCAGATGCGGTTCGAGATTGAACCTGTTATTGCTGCATGAGATATATGCATATATTTGTGCAGATATTTGATTATTTAGATTGTTGTTAGAGTCAGAAATTGAGATTTTACTAAGGCCCCTGCTGTAATAGACAAGATAGGCATTAGTTGGGTCATTCATACAATTGGGATGACTTCCAAGCTGAACAATAACCTGAATTTGATCTTGAATACCGTCCTGTACCATACATAAGCTAACTCATTGCTTTGAAAAGAAAAAAAGAAAAAGAAAAAGATATACAATTAATTATAGTCATGCCTTGCACAGAAGTTCGAGTCCGATATTTTAGGAACTCGTGAGAGATGCTCAAGCGAAGAACTTATACAAGAATGAAGACAATCACTGTCACAAATAGCAAAAAGAAAAAAAGAAAAATTGAATACATGAGAATTGGAAACAATATACCAGCACCAGTATCATACGGCATCCGCAATGATAACCTCGGCAGCCTTCTCACTGATCATATAAATGGGTAGGGCGATATAGTACCCTGGAATCTTAGGAAAGACCGAAGCATCCACAACACGCAAGCCGTCAACCCCACGAACACGGAAGTCCGCATCCAACACAGCTTGAGGATCTCCATCTTCTCCAATTGCAGCAGTACAGCAGGCATGGTGACCCCATGCCTCTTTCTTAATGAAGTCTTTCATCTCATTCTCAGTAGTGACATTGGGTCCCGGCCAGACCTCTTCAAACCCGCCATCGAGGGGAATAAGGTCATCGAATATTGTGCGGGAGAACTGCATTGCTTCATATACAGCCTGCAGGTCCTTGTCATCTGCACCATCTGTGGTCACTCCGGTATCGAACGAGTGGAAGTTGATAAGGGGCATGTCACGCGGGTCGGTAGAGCGCAACTCAACTGTACCAGCGTTGTTACGAGAGCGCGACTTTAACGTAATCCAGGTCCAGTGCTGGGCATCTTTGAGACCCTCGTAGGAGTAGTTGGGATAATAACCGGGGAAGTTGGCGGGTGCTCCTGAGATCAGTAGGTCGGGCTCATCCTCTGCGACAGACGACTTGCGAATGATGGCGATGGCGATTCCATTGGTGGTATATGTACCTTTGAACAAGGGATCATTTTCATACTGTTCCAAACAGGGGTCGGGAAGTGAATACAAAAAGGTACACTTGGATGTGAGGACGAAATCGGTGGGCGACTTGCCCACTGTGCCCGTTTCGTACCGATCTTGAAGATTACGACCGACGCCGGGGAGATCCACCAGGGTTGAGATTCCAAATTTGGACAACTCCTCCTTTGGGCCAATACCACTCAGCTTCAGCAGCTGAGGAGTATTAAAAGACCCTGCGGACAGGATCACTTCACGAGCAGCACTAACGCTACCCGGTGTCCCATTAGAAGATGTCTGGGAAGCCCGGGGGTCTGCACGGTAGAGGCTCTGTCCCCGAAGATAGTCAACACCGGTAGCCCGTGGCTTCGCTCCAGTGGTATCGAACCGGAGCTTGGTTACCAGGGTGTTCAGCTGGATATCAAGGTGATACTTTCGCGAACCATCCGAATTTACAGCATTGACTGTCTTCATGAGGAATTCTCGAGGACCTGTCCGCTTATACTCGGGAACATCTACGGCGAGAGGGACTTGGTATGGACCCTCCTCGTAGTCACGCGAAGGAAGGGGGTTGTTAAGATCACGCAGCAGAACTCCGGCGAGGCCCGTGACCGTAGTGATCAGTTTGCCCAGCAGTGTTTGACCCGCGGCGGTCGCACCGGCCAGGATCAAGGACAGAAGCTTTTGGTCTTCAATGACAAGACGCAGGTCTGTGAGGCTCGTTGTAAGCCATCCGTCGAATCCGTGGCCTATGATGCTGCTGGGAAGGTATCGGTTGCGCTCTAGTCTCTCGAAGTATTGTCGCATATTCGAGGCAGACCATGAATCATTGCCAGTGAGACTGGCCAGTTGCTCCCAGTCATTCTCGTACGGGTAGATGGTGCTATAAAGATACTGGTCAGTATATGATAGATACATCCGATAGACATGCGGAGAAGATATGGCTCACATCATGGCATTATGAGCAGAGCATCCACCCAAAGTACCCGCTCGAGGGTATAAAATTCCCAAAGGTTCAGACCCATTGGGCGCATTGCTTCCAACATGGAGGTGACCAGCAGGTGTCCGGTAAGTCATTTTGCTGTCTTCTTCCTGACGAGTCAAGTTCGAGTAGTGATTCACGAAATAATCCCATCTCATTGGCTCGTATTCGGTGGACTGGAGCTGCAGAGCGGGGACAATTTGCTGAGTCGCATTTCCCTGGTCATCTCCTGCTTCTAGAAGAAGGACCTTGTAGCCTGCAATGGCCAATCGTGCCGCTACAGGGCCACCTCCGGCGCCAGAGCCAACAACAACATAATCATATTCCGTGGTGGAGTTAGCCGAAGACCGCCTGTGTGCATCATGATATCGATGATTCGGTCTATGATCACTATATTATGTTAGTTTTCCGTGTCAACAAGGTCTGGGTAGAGACCGAAGGTGCACCTACATAGCTGAGGCAATTAAAAGAGTGGAAAATAGCCCAACAACCGCAGAAAAACGCATAGTGAAAGAAAAGGGCGAAGATTTACCCCAAAAATAGCAAAAGAAGAGAAATAAAAATGGGGTCTTCAGCCAGAAAGAAAAGAAAGAAACGAGGAACTTGGGTTATATCAATGGTCACAAAGCTCCTCTCCTGACTCTATTATAAGGGCATAGAAGCAAAAGCACCGCGGACGCCCATAGTACTATATTCGGCCATGCTACTGGGTATATTCCTTCATTGTCCTTGCAAAGGCGATCGACATAAGCTTCCACCTTCCAAATTAGCCTGTATCAGGCATGGATACTCACCGCAATACACACTAATCCTATGATCCTTGTACGTAGGGATGGCTCTGACTCGTACCAACTAGCTCCGAACGCAGCCGGGTCTTGGCGAGACATTGATACTTTGGCTTGTGGGACCGGCCAGCCAATCAACTTATTCTAGATCCTGCGCACTCGTGCTAGCCTCTTAGTGTCTTCTCTGTGCCGTTTGACATGCCGATCATACAGCTCTCTGAAAAGCCACCAATCTAACGGTGAAGCTAGTCTTCTTTGGGTTCCAGGTTCTTTGTTCGTCATAATGATACAGTTACTGTTTTAGGAGCGTATGGAATACATCTCAGACATCCGAAACCTAAAGCCCCCTATTGTTGTGTATGACTGGGGATGTAGCGATTCTTCCTATCTTTCTGTCTGATTTTATGTAAGGTACACTTGGAGGAAAAGAAAATATGATATGATCTTATGAATAATTTGAGCTTTATCATACGTTTATTGAGTATGCTGAATAAAAATCTAAAATATTATATTAAAGAGGGATATGGTCGTTTTGGTAGGATCCAACAACCAAATAACCGCGAATAAGTAAACAAAGAGAAAGAAACGAAAGAAATAGAAGCCATTGCCCTACATAAGAAGATACCCTATCTTCACCCTCAACTACACTGGTTGTGGATGGTGTAGCCGGGCTTCATCAGAAAGGTCCAAGTCATCAAACCGGTAGAATGGGCCATCACTACTCTTGTTCTGGACAGGGACAGAAGTCCCACGAGAACGCGAGTTCATAGCGTATGATGATGATTTGGCTTGCTCAGTATCTCCAAAGAATCGGGGAGATATACGACGTAGTAGAGACCGAATAGCGGGCAGACACGCACATATAACGCCAACGTCGCATTCAATAGTACTCCAATACCCTATAGCCACATAATCCCCTTCGAAATGTCAATGAAGCTGCAAATATAGAAAGAGAAAAGAGAGGGAATGAACACTCACATGTAAGGTTAGTGGTAGAGGCAAAGTGAATGAGTGAATTTAGCCGCAGGATGCTGACAAGGGTGACACTAAGCTCATGAGTTAGTCATTGAAATTTTGGAACAGGCTGAATAGGGAAACGCACAATATGCCCAGGCTGAACATGCAAATTACGAATGATTTCCGTTTCATGGAAAGGTTCAGACCGTATAGCTGTCGTAGAGGGAGTGCCATGACAATTATATCGAGAACCATGTTAAGCACTGCCGATGACCAGCCCTGTGCGTTGATGTGGTTGCATTTGTAGTTCTCCTCTCCATACCAGCGATGCCACGCTCCGGGTAGAGGCCGACACTGGAATACCGATATCAAGACAAAGGCGATCCAATAGGAGACGTTTAGTGCAATCACCACGTACGTTGCTGTCCGAAACCTCCGATCGGGGAAAATACGAAGATAGAAAAAACAAATTGATATTTTGGTCAGCGGGAGAATGCTCAGATACAACAATTCATCCCAAAAGTAGACCTGGCGCAATTAGACAACGTACCTTGGGAAGAGCAGGAAACAAGAACTTTAGGGTACTCACATAAAGAATATGAGTGATATTGTCGAAAGGAAGGGTCCACATATCCTTCCCCAAACCTGTGTTGGCCACTATACAAATGGTTAGTGGAGTGAAGGGGCTTTGACTAGCTGCCAAGGAAACCATACAGACGACCGAGAGTGCTGAAAGTGGTATGAGAAAGGCCTGTCAATTTCAGTGAGAAGAGAATTCGGTTTCGAGCAAAGGGAAAGGTGGTATATACCATTGTCAACACCATTGTCCAATCATCCGCTCCAAAAATGCCACCACAGCATCTAAATCGAGCCACCATCCGGAGAATAAAAGCGCAAAGGGCTATAATTCCGCCTGCAACCCCTGCATAAGATACAGTCTTTGTGCGATCCCGAATCGGGTCCCCGCACGCTGATGTCGTGACATTTTTTGTAGCTTGTGTATATTAGCAGGGGATGGAATAACTAGTCATAAAACCATTGACTCACTTAGAGATTCTCGAATTGTGCAATTGGCAAGAACACACTCCTGCAGAACGGCCGTGTAATGTACATCATTGCACAGGCATGCCTGGTCGGTTGTCTTGCAGGAAGATTGCGACACCGAAGTCATCATACAATCCAGCTAAGAAGGGTCAGTGATATCGAGTTCGCGCTAAAATAACGGCAGAAGAATTGCACGACCTACCGCACACGAGGGTAAAACGGCCGCCAACTGTTCCATTCCTGCTATCACAGTCGTTGCGAACAAGGCGGCCACAAGGACTGCTGTTTTGAAAAAACGCATCGTGAAGCTTACAGGATAGGATTCATTCGTTTTGCGATTAAGAGACTGTCAAAGGAGACCTGCGCTGAATTTGATCAGTCGAGTCAGGAGAATCTACGGAGTAATATTATGAGATTCACGACGATCTCTTAGCTGGGATACAAGAATTTGTTCTACCTTCCTGTCAGGATCGCTAGCGCATGAAAATCTCAAGTTTAAATGCCGCATCAGTCCTCACTGGGGATTTGCCTTTCTACATGTTTAGATGTTTAGGTACCACATCTGTCATTGACGTTATTTGGGGACTGTTTCAAGCCCCTGCCAGTTATCACATTGTCACCTAGCAACAATCCACAACTTCAGGAGTTCCTGAACCACATCACAAAAGTACAAGTAATTCCATACAGACGGAGTACGAAGTACAACCGACAACTTCGGACCCTTAGGGCCAGTCAAGAAGTTGACTAAGCTGGTCTCTCATAACTAATTGACTAAATGGTTATGGATGATGGCTGATTTAAATTAAGATCGGCACATATACGAGCCTTCCCCAGCTCTTGGGCCAACTCTAGACGTTTGGAGGGGCCCACTAATGCCGGAATTGATGGTCCTTCCAGAGACCGCCGATCTAAATTGGGACTTTGACACTCCCCACTCACTCGGAGTAGGTTATCCATTTCTATGCCGTATACCTAGTTGAGCCTAGTGTTCTCCAGAGAGATCCACAGGCTCCGGAATAATGGCTAAATTTTGCTCAGACTCCCGTGGAGATGATCCGAAGAATCTCCGTAGTGGGTTTATACTATCGGGAGAAAGAGCGCTTCGATATTTACGATCTACACGCATCAATGATCCTTAGACATATCTTACAGCCCCAGTGCCGCGATCAGCACTATCGTTGAACAAAGATGTTTCACCCTGGAGGCGTCTGCTAAGATTTAAATTCACCGCGAGGCGTGCGCCAAGATCCATATATCCACCACAGGAGCGTTCGAATATTCCCAAATTAGGCCCGATCGACAATAACACACGAATAGTACGGAGTATATGTATCCATAATCCACCCTGTGTAGTCGAAGGGATGGTCATGGAAAAATCAGGGGCTTGTGTCGTACTTTTCGTGGCTTTTTACTCCGTGCAGGGGTGCTGAAAGGGATCTACCAGAACAGAATCCTTCAATAGAGAAAGAGCCGGAGGATTGAAACTGATTGCCGGTTAATTTACGACATACACAATATATTATTTGCAATACCACTACCATACGCCTGGACAGTTGTCTCTATGTTGTACTCCTTCGGGCCATAATTGCATATATTCTATAGTGGACTCATACGCTAAGACGGGCCATTCAGGGGATCATCATTTCTCAGCATGTGCGATCTTCGAATATTTACCTAGGCATAGAATTGACGCGGGATATCTAAGGAATGCATTATTCCACTCCACTGGACAGTCTTCTTCAGTCACTCGTTGCACGATCATTCCTTTGAACCTAAGGGGAAACTGGCATTTCTAGTGGAGGACTAACACATTAGTTCATCATGCGCATTCTCAGTACAAGGTTGTTTCTTTGCCAATTGTCACTCCTTACACTAGTGTTGGCTTTCCCAGAGTCGATGAGCGACCACAATGGTCATTCAGGACATCAAGGCATGCACAAGTCTTGCCCATATGCCAACGCCAAGGACCAGGCCGAGCTGAAGACGGAACATGAGAAACGGTTTCTCTTCAGTTTGATGAAATCGCCTATTGATAGTATGCCACCAAAGCCCTCTCGCTTGTCACAATTTGTAACAAAACAATAGTTACCGGAGAACATGCGTTCCAACCTCCAGATTTCGAGAATGGTGACCAGCGAGGCCCCTGTCCAGGTCTCAATGCACTAGCAAATCATGGATATATCCCACGGAGCGGAGTGGTGTCGGTAGGTTATTCCTATATGACTATCATCAACTCCTAGCTAAATCCAGAAAAAGTTCATAAATGTGATTGCAGCAATCAACAAAGGTATGATTGCATCATGAAATTATCAACACAGCATATTCTAACCTTTCTTCATCAGTGTATGGCATGGGTGTCGATTTGGCCACCGTCCTTACGATCATGGGCACCGTCTGGACTGGAGACGTGCTGTCCCTCGATCCCAGCTTCTCCATCGGGGGTCCCGATACTGGCGTTAACAACCTTCTCAACAACTTGGGAGGCATCCTGGGTTAGAGCACCTTACTTTCTTGCCCATATCTATCACCGCTGACATCACCTGCAGGGGAGCCACAAGGCCTCATTGGCTCGCACAATTTTATCGAAGCAGACTCCTCCAACACGCGTGACGATCTCTACGTTACGGGCAACAGCTGGACACTGAACATGGACAAGTTCATGACTTGGTATAATATGTCTTCCGACGGCACTTATAATATGGATCTCATGGCTGAACGCGCAAAGATCCGTATGGATCAGACTATCCATACAAACCCGGATTTCTACTACGGACCCGTGACTGGGCTCATTGCGCGTAACGCCGGTTACATTTTTGCAGGTCGACTGTTTCGAAACCACTCGAGTGAAAACCCAGAGGGAACACTGAGTAAGCTGATATAAGAGGACTGATTATGCGAGATCTACTAACCCCATCCTAGCTAAGAGCCACCTTCGAGATTTCTACGGCATCTATGGCCCGGAACACAATTTAACCTACCGCGAAGGATGGGAAAGAATTCCGGAAAATTGGTACAAGACTCCTATAGACTATGGACTAGTCTCACTCAACGTGGATGTCATTGGCTTCATATTGAAGTATCCGGAGCTTGGAAGGTAAGACACTCTGCCAGGTTCCTCATATTGATAATCTTCTAACAATAATTTGAATACAGCATTGGTGGAAATCTGGGTGAAGTAGACAGCTTTGCCGGAGTTGATCTCGGGGATTTGACAGGTGGTGTATTGAACCTAGCTAGCCTGCTGAAGGGTAACAACTTACTGTGCTTCGTGGCTGAGGTGCTGAAGTTCGCCAGCCCCAACGCTCTTAGTGGCATATACTCCACCGTAGCTAAGCCGTTGGAGTTTGTCACTAATATCCTCGCTGTGCCTTTGCTCAACCTTACTTGTCCAGCATTCCAAGATCTTCAGCTGGGAGGGAAGCCGCTATGGGAGGCGCTCCAAGATGACTTTCCCGGTGCTTTAAAGAGCAACCGTTCGCTTTAGGTATTGCGGGCTTGCTTTGGATTGGATGTATTATAAGTTTTTATTCCAGTTTAATACTTTATTAATAAAATTCTAATTGTTCCTGTGAAAACCTGAAAATGGGTATATATAGTTACGGGGTGCTGTTCTAAGACAGGGATCAACACATGCATTAAGGGGAATATACGGGGATTGAGAATTCGGAAACATGCAAGGTTATGCAGGTCACCATCAAATGCCAACCTGCATATTATATAGTTCTGTTTGCATTTTGCTGCATATAGTTCTGTAGCGCTCTTGTTTTGCGTTGTCTGAATTAGTAAAACGGCGCAATGCGTGATGATAACAGAATTGTCAGCTTATCAGCAATGCGGCTCAGTGGTTTAGTGGGATAATTCATCTTTCGGGAGAAATCTCTGGTTTCAAAATTACCTAATATAGATGAGGTCCCGGGTTCGATTCCCGGCTGAGCCCCTTTTTTTTATTTTATTTTAGAATTCCATACCCCTTGAACCATACATTTCTGAGGGTTAAAGTTATTGATACCCATGCATATTCAAGGAGAGCCCACCAACCTTAGAAGACCATGCATACCACTTACATAACGTGTATTTTAAGGTTCTGGGGTCGCGTAGGGCGGAAGCCAATTCGATATCCCAACTGCACTGGCCTCGGCATCTCTTTCCCTGTAACAGCATTGCAAGGAATTTTGGCTTCTTCGATTGAGTTCCCTTGAGATTCTGGAAACTCTCTCTGATCAGACCCCTCAGAATCAAACAAAGAACTCTCATCTGCTAGGCCCGATTAAACTGAACTAGCGCATCGCGTGCTAGATCTAGTTAGGCGGTCCGGCCAACGACAGACCAACGACAAACCAAGCTCATGCAACTAAGCGATAGTTTAGAGCCATCGTACGTGTCCCTGGACGAAAGTGAAAGTCCCGACTGAGCGGTGAGAATCATCTACTCATGAATGGTCGGGGATGATGAATGACAGGGATTGTTTAGTGTCGGGCCAGTGTACAAAATACGGACTAATATGCGGAGCTTGTTGCGCCCTGCGCTTCGCTTGCGATATTGGGGCTGTCTCTCTTCATCTGTCCGCATGGGATTCTGCCTATAGATATGAGTTTAATTAACTTGAGTTTGACCATGCCAGATTAGTTCCTCGAAAGTACGGGGGCCAGAGTGTAACCCAAGACATTCCTGGACCTTAAATGGGATATCAGTAATGCCCATTCTTTCAATTGGAAGTTTAAGATTAGACATATATATATGATGCATTTCCCTGATGTTTGGATCTGCCCTATGCATACTATTCAGTCAACTTGTTGATTTCTCTTCATCATGCGCTCGCTGTGGACATTATCGGCACTGGCTTTCTCAGCTAAAGCCATACAAACAACAGGATGTCCTATTTTGGGACCGGCATTCCCTGCCCCTACCGCTCTTTCAGAGGATCCTACTTTCCTTAGCAAAGCTGAGGAATTGACCTCAAAGCTCAATGATGCCATTAAAAATGGAAGTCTGCCCGCCATATCCTTCTCAGTGCAGGTCTTTAGCAGCGAAGAGGACGACGCGCCATTCGATTTCTACCACACAGATGATCCAGTTAAAGTTGGATCTGTGGGCGTTCAAGAGGTCGACGAGGATACCATGTTCCGCATTGGCAGCATATCAAAGCTGTGGACTATGTTTCTCTTTATGACCTTGGAAGGAACACGATACTTCCACGAGCCCGTTTCGAAATACGTTCCTGAGCTGCGAACGAACTACAGCGCAGCACAGGCAAAGGATACAATTAATTATTTGCAATGGAGCGATGTGACGATCGGCGAGCTGGCTAGTCACCAAGCGGGCCTTGCAAGAGACTGTATGATCATAACCCGGCGACGCGAGTGTGCACTGTGAAAAAGAAACTCACCTTTGATTTTAGATTCATTTGGAGACCTCGAATTTGAGTCAGATCTTCTGCAGGGCATGGGCTTCCCTGCGCTTCCAAAAAATGATCAACTGACTTGTGGGAGCACGTCTACGTGTGATAGGAAGGGTAAGTCAATTGTGTGCACTCATAATATGGTCGAATTGTTTGGCTGACAGCGGGAATGTTTTCAAGAATTCTTCCGTGGCATTCTACAAACGCGTGAGTAGGCATGATGCCGCTGAACTTGGACATACCCTAACACGGTCTATTAGATCCCTTGACTGCAACATCACACACGCCGATATACTCAAACGCAGGATATCAAATTCTAGGCTACGTGTTGGAGTCAATCGCAAAAGCCGACTTTGAAGATATATTACTGGATCGTCTTATCAAGCCACTCAACTTGACTCGGTCTTGTCTTCAAATCCCAGACCCCAGCTTGGCAGTGATTCCCTACAATGAGACTTTCAGTTGGTTTGGGTATCAGATTGGCGAAGAAGCTCCGTGAGTGCTAATCAGCCATTTGAAGTATACATAGCTTACACATTGCTAGTGCCGGAGGCATGTTCTCTTCTGCAAAGGATATGGCTACATTTGGCCGTGCCATTCTTTCCAACACCCTTGTTGACCCTGCCGTGACAAGAAGGTGGCTGAGGCCGATGGCTCACACATCATCCCTGCAACTGTCCGTGGGCGCCCCCTGGGAAATCTATACATTTTTGACACCTCGTCGAGTCGACCTGTATACCAAGGCTGGGGACATCGGACTGTACTCCAGTTCGATCGGTCTTTCACCGGATCACAATGCCGGTTTCACGGTTCTAGTCGCCGGAGCTAACTCTCACGCGATGACAGCGCAAATCGGAGAGATGGTTGCCGATATTATGCTTCCCGCGCTCGATGAAGTCGCTAGAAACCAAGCCTTTGAACGCTTTGGCGGTACATATGCCTTGACGAGCGACTCCTCCAATTCCTCAATCACCATCACGGCTGATGACGGGCCGGGTTTGGTGGTCTCAGCATGGATCAGCAACTCGGTGGACATGATCGAATCTTTGATGACCTTGCAAGGGGTAACTGATCGCTCTGCGATAGGCATTCGTCTACAGCCTAGTGGTCTTGAGACCCCAGGGCGGATCTCCTTCCTGGCTGTTATTTATGCACTTCCTATCTCGGAAGATGCTGGGCCTTTTATTGGCTCTTGCTTTTCGTGGATTTTGCTCGAGTCAATGGTGTATGGCAACGTGGGCCTTCCAGAGTTTGAGTTCACTCTGGATCATGATGGGGATGCGACGAGCTTATCCCCCCGGGCGTTGCGCATTACTCTCCCTAGAGTTTAATAGATGAGAGTTTATCACAATGTATCTAAGTTGGCGGTTGTTTAATTTCTTATTGTATAGAGTTACTCTACGTAACAGCTTTGAAATGTCGATTGGTCATGTCCGGACTTTTAAACACCGTCAGTCCAATCTGGGAACATTGTTATGAATACCATCATTATTTATTTTTCAGTCTCGCAAGAGCCATAATTTTTGTCTCCCTTTGTCGAGAGCGCAATGCGTCTGACGCTAACCAGGGGGCCCTCCTCGACCGCTCAGGCCACATCTTCTTTCTCCTCACCCCCTTCTCCCGACGAACTACCTCTCCCTTTCCACATGAAAAGCACACTATATTGGTCTTAATCATCTGTATGGTGCTCGTTTCGTACGGAGTCCTTCACAGAGGCTTCACTTGAAATATATCCAGCCTCGTTTCCATCCGCTTCGGCACTTTCTTCGATGCGACCATATGATGATCAAGAACGGTCGCAATCTGTGATGAAAGTCGGGTTCCTTCAGTGGCTCTACCTCATATCGCAAGTAAGGTCGACGGTCGGTCATGCGAAGATGTTACACCCATTACTTTTCGACAAGCGCCCGATCGCCCAGATAATCACAAGCTATTGATCATTGGAATTTTGCCGAAGTATATCTTTTGGACGATGATGTTATCATAAAAATCCTTCGCAGCCAGAGTGAAGAAGATATGCAACCTATAATCCGCGAAGCTATAAGTTTTGACATTCTCGGAACCCATCCACGGATTGCGGTATGGCTATCACGATCGGAATATATCGACATCAGTACTATCTACATGGCGACGTTGCAAAATATTGCCAGGAGAGCTCGATCACTTCCGAGCTTCGATCTAAATGGTTCAGCAAATCTTGGAAGCAGTTGTTGTTATTCACAGCCATAGTGTGTTATTCATTCGGATCTTGCCCTACGGCAGTTTTTCATTGATGATAATTCGGATCTACGACTCGGTGATTTCAACTCTTCACAATGCCCTGGTCATATATCACCACACTGCTTGCCACAAGACTATGAACTTCCTAATACTGAAACGTCCGATATCTTTGCCCTAGAATCTACCCTCTACGAGCAAGTTGCTGGTAAGGCCCCATATAGCGAACTCTCTCGGCCTAAATCCGATGATCTGGATATTATCAAAAGCTCAAATCCGAAGACAACATATGGTAGATCGTGAAATTGAATATAGTTCAAAAACCGCAATTTTCCTGATGTGTCTGATCTATTCGGAGGAGAAATCATACTAGGTTGTTAGAGAGGCGAAATTCCCACCGCTCAAGCGGCATTTGATTTGTACTTGAAAGATTTCGTTTAATTCATATCTGAATACAAAGGTAGGGGAGCGCGAATGTCCATTCAAACCACTCCATTCAATCAAACCCATCAAAGTCATCAAACCCAAACAAAGCAAATAACTAAAGCAGGGGTCACTTCAGGTAGATATCACTAGTCTCTGATTTGAATATTGAGATTCAGAATAGAAAAAGTTGATATTTCATTTGGACGACTTTGATTCAGACAGAAGAAAGAAGAAAATGACCAAGAAAATCACGACGTTAAGAGATTCAGCTTCCATGACTTATAGGACCCATCTAGATGAACATGGAATGATAGTAGCCTAGTTCCTTCAGCGTTATAATAGGCAACAGTGACGATCTTTTCCTATCATCGAACTCGGGCTTGATAATGAATTCGTGACTGTTGTCGTCGTGAGAAGATGTGAAATATCCCATGATGATCTTGTGAGATAAGCAGATGTCTATAAGATCTGGTCAGAGCGGAACTTTTGCGAGAATAATCCGATCTGATTTACCAAATGACATATCCGTTTCCTTCATCGTGCATTATCCACGCAACCATCTGTGCAGCCTCTTGCCACGTCGCTCATTGTAGACGTGCTTATTCAACCCCACACTTTTGGGGACGAGGTCAGACTGGTAGGGCCAATGTTGAATAATATGAGCGTATGATGTATCTGTGGCATCTGGTTGGAGGCCTAAGTGGAGGGCCGACAGAATTCCGGAATCTTCAGTTGAGACTGTGTCATAAGGAACATAGCACTGACTTTACAATTAGTAATGTGCTTTGTTCTATGCTTTGTTCTATTGTCGATATTACTGGCGTACTGTTAAATCCCACACAGAGAAGCTCTTCAATTATTTTGGACGCTGAATGAACCAAGCTCGCTTAAGTTGGTACCCAAAAGTCCCAAATCTCGCGATCGTGCCACTCACTAACGGCACGAGAGGATAGAGGTGGCCATTGCAAAAAGAAGCCCCAAGTATTTCTTGGGACTTGGATGATATTTGTGGGAGTTGAGAAGGTTGAAGAAAGAAGAAAAGTGACTCGATTCTCCTGATGGCTTTCGGGGAGCTAATCGCATATCCCGATAGGCGTCGTCAATTTTGCTCCATGTCCCGGCTTCAGCAGTTTCCATCCGCTCGTGGTCCTCATAGATAACACCAAACCATGGCATCATTGTGCGCCTAAGGCGCGTGGTTGGTCCTGTAGAACCATATGGGATCACCGGTAGTGTCAACCGGACATCCCCAGCCTAACAGATTGCCCCTACAAAGGAGGTTCCAAATTGTTCTTTGTTTGCTTTCCCCTACATCCAAGGGTAAATCACAATTGTGTGGCCGGACGTCTGGGCATCTAGGTGACTCGCAATCTGGGACCACCATTCTTCAAGATGCAAATGCATCTTAGGGGGGGCGATAGTGCAGTTTTCGCTGTCCTCATTGGTAAAGGACACAGATCCTTGCACTGCGTTCCCACTACGTCCAGTTACTAGGAAATGGCCAATGTTCAAACCAATATGTGTGAACCCTGTCTCTTCTCCTGGATACGCGCTTTTTGTGTAGTAATGGAAGGCCATCAATCTCCATGTATGATCCGGATGAACCGCGACATACGTCGCGTAGTAGCAGACATCTCCCCTATCTCCAACTGAAGGTTATAGCGTTCTTCCGGAGGGCGGTTTTCTAAGGCTTGCTTGACTCTCTGGAAGGTAGGATCCGAAGCCCCCAAGGGCTGGGTGTAGATAGTCTCTATCGTGGACAGGGCTGTGGCATTGTCAGGACTGGGACTAGGGCCGGCCATCTCAGGATCGTAAGGGCGACAGCTAGTTCAAAGTAGCAACTCAAGCAAATTGAGCACTGTGTGGGAGTCGTGAAAGTCGAGTGGAGGAATAGGCAACTTTTTCTTGACTTCGCATCCAGTCTGTCTCACTTCTAGATCTCTTCGGTCTAATAGAACCTTCTCCCGAGGGTAAAAGGACCTGCCTTCCATCACTTGACGCCACCCCACAACGTGCTCTTTCATCACCTATCTCGCATGTGACGCCACGTCCCTCCGCGTTCCTTCATCCTACCGCTTCTCCTCTCTCGGCTCCTTGGTTTCTTTCATCCTCCCCTGACGCCTCTCGCTTCTTAGGCTGACCTCTTGACTTACTCTCTTAGTTTAGAAACTCAGTAATCATGCCTGAGCGTCAGCACGCCCCTCGCGATAGCAACTCTTCCCGTCAGCACGTTCGTGCTCAACTCTCCACCTCTGTCCCGCAGTTCCTCTTTTGCCTTACATGTGTCCAGCTCAATATCGTCAATTGGACCCAGGCGGGGACCGGGCTTGGTTTCGGGCCTCGCTTCCAGTTTCGCTTTGTTCAGGACTCCGGCAATTCAAATGACTGTCAGAACTGTGCCCAGGAAGGTTGAACTTGTGAGCAGGTAATGTAACCCCATTCAACCCCTATACCGACTATCCTTACTGACTCCCAGTCCCCTATCTAGGTTCCGGTTGGGATCGAAGGACACCGATACGAATTGCTCTCCTTGATCTCCTGGGTGAATTTGATGTGGGGATCCTATGATCCCACGCGACCATATTTCGACGGCTTCGAAAGTAACTGGATCTTGCCTGGCCGCGCACTGGCCCAGCTTGGGGCCAAAATTGCCAACCTTTGCCCGTCTTTTCGTCTCCTGCCCATAATCATATTGAAGAGCATGGAATTCATAGCGGTAGCTCGGTATAGTCCTTCTCCTCACGTCCTATTTCCTCTGTTCTTCTTACTAACCTCTCATTTCTTAACATCAGCGGGCTCGTCGCGCCAACTACCGGAATTGGCTTCTTAGTCGCCAGCCCATCCCCTGTGCTATCGAGCTTGACGGCAGCCCTGAGAGATTTGCAGATTTCTCCTCCTCGAAGCACAAGTCTGTCGACACGGAAAATCATGTCCACCATTTGTATGGTGCGATTCGCACTCAGAGTGTGACTCGCATAGTGGAGGATGGTGTTCGGGGCACTATCCACCAGGATGACTATGCCGCCTTGCTCCGACGTTTCCCGGCCCAGATACTCTCAGCATTCCCCCGTGGCTTCCAGTAAACGCGGGTAGTCTTAGGGAGGGCAGGATGGGATAGCAGTGTGGTCCTGGCTAGGAGCCAATCAGAATAATATGAATCGTGCAGTATTTCTGTGATTTTTCTTCCTGACGTAGTCTCCCACCCAACCCAATAAATTGGCTGTCCTCGGTCAACAGCTACATTGTCGGGTGCAGTCGTATAGCAGCTTTCAAGTACCCAGTGTCCCGTGACAAAAATTGAAAAAAATCATCGGAATCCAGGTCTTATAAAAGAATGAAAAAATAATGAAAAAGCGTCAAAATCAAGCGCATAACGAAAAAAATCATGCATCCTCAAACTTGCACTTCTACCCTAGGAAATAGAGGCTCGCGGTCGCTAAATGCTAAATGCATCGCCCCCTGTTCCACTGCCTTCATCATCGGAATCCTGGTCAAAGGGCACGCTTTTCGGCGGAAAAGATTCTTGGCGCACCGCTGTATCTAGGTATAGCCAAGGGCATCACTCCGTCCCATCCTCGCTCCTCCACATCATCAAATTCCCTTCGAGCATGCTCTCGATTATCGATCTCTATCAGGTTTTATTCCGGGGAACCTCATAGTCGTCCAGGTCAATCACACTCCCAGGCACAACATTCATCAAATTGACGCGCGCAGGTGCTACGAAATCTCTCCCAACATTAACAAAACAAGGTGAAGCAGACAAAAACTTCAAATCATTAGGGACTCCTTGGCCCCAAACCCATCTCAGATCCTGTGTGGCGGATAGCTTGCTGGGAACCAAGCGTCCGCCTATTAGTTTAAAGGACTGTCGAGGAAGTCGTCTTTCTCGAACTGCTCGAGAGCTTCCTCGGGCCAGAGTATAGCCACCCTGAGTATCTTATCTTCATCGGGTATATACACGGGAAAACTCACCTTTCTAGTCCTTTCTCTGTTATAGACAACGCAGTCTACCTTTCCGTCAGGCTTCTAGGCGAGCGCCATCATCGAGGCTTCCATAAACAGCCTTTCTAAAATCAACCTCACTACCGGATCACGATCGCATTCACGTACACTATGATATCCCCAATTGAAATCGGTGTGTTCTGGATACAACCCAAACAGCGAACCCTCACGCCCTTGGCAGGGGTGTAAGCTAACGAAGGTCACGTGGACGCGTTCCGGAGACAAAAGGGACAGATTTCCGGAAGTACTGTAAACATATTCCAAGTAGCCACCCTATGATCTAGCCAAAATAAGGTAGAGAGATTCCGTCCTTTCTATTGGACAGCAACGAGCGGTGGGTAGTGTCGCCTGCATCGGATTATGCTTTCGGCTTTCGTTTCCGTTCTACCAAAGGCTCTTGTGCGATCTGTTTTATGTGCCGCAGGGTGTCTTAAGAATAAGAGGCTGCCCTCCCTATGACAGTTTATCCAATTCACAAATAGAGACATGGCGACTCAATACTCTATTCATCCTGACAATCAAGCCAGCGGTTTGACTTACGAGCCCTTCGAATCCAGTTACGTACGAATGATCGTGGAAGCGGACCTTCCGTTCTGGGCAATCCTGGAGCCAATCGTATCTTCCTCGGACCGGCCACCTCTGCACAACCTTTGCTGGTCTTATACACAGTATATATCTATTCTAGGTACATATGCTGCTCCACATCGCTCCGAATCCATCATTCTGCCTAACATCCCTATGCATCCGTTATTCCAACATTGGCGTTCTCGCGCCACTCTGCAACCTTGGACAATCATCGCTACTGACTGTGCTCGCTGAATGTTAAAGCTGTGGCTCACACACAAACTAATAATGGTTGTCGAGCCGTACTTGTGCTGTCGTTCTCTCCCCGACAAGATCAAATCAGATGATGTTCTCTTCTTGTTTACGTTCGTTGTCGAAGGCTTCCTGGGGTATCTACTTACGCCCCTGCTAGAGGCCTTCTCTTATTTCAGCCTTCTAACCGTAATGGTTCCGCGCACAACCCGCTCACAAAGCTGAAGCACAGTCAATTTAGCTATGGGATACTCGTAACTAGCTACTGAACAATCTCGCCCTGCTCCATTCGAATTCTTCTCCACGATTAAGCGGCCGCTCACACCTGTCTCCACGAAATAACACTAATAATGCTAGAAACTCCGTTCTAATCCGCGTGGGGGACGTTCTCCGATACGGAGAATGACGTGATTGGGGTATCAACAATTCCGGACTTGCGAGGTACGGCCGATGGTGATAGTGGGAGATGGAGAGTTTTCGATAGGACGGCCGTATCTTCGGGTTCGCAGTTGTAGTAGCGCATGAAGAGGTCAAATCCCTCTTGGTTCTTCTTCTTGAAATCAAAGATATCTGACGCTCGTACAATCAAAGTACCGTCGATGTTGAATCGGGCATAGAGCATACGCCCCTGTCTTGGGCCAAACAGCGAGATGACGAGAACCTAATAGTGGTATAAGGTTAGCGCTCACTTATAATAGGGATTACTAGGTCTATACCGGAAAACTCGAAGTCTGCTTAAACTCCTCCTGGAGGAGACGGCACTGGATTGTATTAACAATCGGCCCAATCTCGCCATGGAGAAGGTTATTAGACTTTGCTACCGCGCCGGTGCATATCATAAGCATAACATGCGGGCGGATTGTGTCTGGGTCCTCAGGGTCCTCTTGCCATTGTCGGTAACTTACGGCTCTCCATCTTGAAAGATCGAGAGGTTTCGAATGCCCAATATGTAAACCATGTAACATTCCTTGTGGCCCATCCTCAAAGGAATCCTCGGCCCTAGATAAATAAACCAGTCAATTTCTTGGTAGTTATAAGTAATAGGGGGAAATAGAGGAAGACCGAACTCACAAGATCTCATACCAGTTCGAGTTTTTCTCTATCGAAGAGGTATTATCGGGATCATCTTTCTTAGAGTAGTCTTGAAGGATGTCGATATATCTGGCGATTTGAAAGGCCTTCTCATACACAAGTTCGGTGCCTGGTAGTGGGTCTGATAGTGGGTATGAGAAAGACAAATGAAAGGCCTTGTCAAAACCGTCATAGTGATGGCGCATATGTTTAGGGATCCTAGCGCTGTCGATTTTGTATGTGCTGTATTCTTTCTCGGATAAAAGCTTAAAGTCAAGGGACTCTTGGTCATATGTGACATCCATATGGTGGAGAAGAACGCCGATTTCACGGAGGGTATCATAGTCATAAGAGACCTGGCTTTTCGATTCTAGCCATTCCAAGATGGAGTCGGCCTTTTCTTCGAACATTTTTCTCAGGGCATCATGGTCCTGCAGCATAGGCGGATTGACAGGTTGAGAAGACATGATAGACGGCGTGGAAACGCGACGAGATTGGTTGACAGTGTTATGAAAATGATGAAGAGACGAAGAAACGTGGAGATGTGGAGATAGAGAGGTGGAAAGCTGGAAAGCTGGAGAGCTGGAATAAGTCTAGGAACTATAATGCCTCTGGGCGGAAATGGGTTAGTGTGTCACCGTGACCCACTCTCACGTGGACCACCTAGGCAGCCTGTTTCCAGCTTACTCAGCGTACCGTCCACCCGTGGACCCAGCTCAAGGGACCGGGCTTACAGCTGATCGAATGTTAGAATGGGACCGCTAATTTAGCGTGAAGGAAAATATATTAATCCGTGTTAATCCGCGTTTCGACCATCTATCTGCTCAGAGGGGTCTTAGCGAATGTCGAGATCTCTCTTTACACTAGGATGTCTTCATAGCTTATAATAGACGTTCATAAAGACCCCGTGATCATTATTTACAGTATTATCTTTACCACTAAATCCTATCTTCTTCTGTACTAGGGTATTATAACCCCTAAAAGAATCCCGACATTCGCTGATGTCTGACATTCGCCGAGCTCTCGGAATTCGGATTAATACATGTTCCTCTGGGCCAAGAGGCGCTAAAAATTAGCGGTCCCATTCTAACATTCGATCAGCTGTCGGTCGCAAGGGACCGTTGAATGGCATAGGTAGACGGCGGTGAGGATTCATGATTATAGGTAGGATTCTCATTAGTTAGGCGCTAAATGTCTATATAGAGGTCGAGGCGAAGAGTTATTGCAAAGGGACAATTATTGGCAAGTGTAGTTGTCCGTCGTTTCTTCTCTAAGTCCTGTGGTATATATATACAGCCACGGTCGCAGCAGAGATAGACAGCCTTTTTCACCCCTTTCTTAGTGTTTTTTGAACGCTTAGAGGTGACTGCATATCCATGCGGGCGTGCAAAGGTATTAATCGAGACAATCGCTTCCTCCGAGGTAGGGTACGTCTGGTCTATTGGCGGAAGCGGGAACGTAAAGCTTGGTGTGGACTCGGTACTTGGCAGCTGGGTGCTTGGCGGCTCAGTGCTTGGCGGCTCAGTGCTTGGCTCGGTGATTGGCTTGGTGATTGGCTCGGTGGGTGGAGACTCGGGGACGATCTCTGTCTCGGAATCCGAGGATAGCAGGTATTCGAGGTATTCAAGGCCTAGTGAGGCCATATTGAGGATGAAAACTGATAAAAACAGATGAAATTGGAGGGATTTGGATGAAAATGAATGTCAAAAATGAGGTGGAAGAAGGCAAGTTAATGTATGTAAACCAGAATTGAAGTATCAATTTGTTTGATCTTGTCTATATGGAGTGCAATATAACGAAAGTGACTTAATTTTGTTAGGGGTTTACATACAAATTGCAGGTACCTACTGTGTCACTATAATTGTATGGAGACTTTGTCACGAAGGCGGTGTATGAAATTAGAAGGCGGTGTGGAATGCGGTAGACAGGCACAGGTGTCGAAGCAAAAGCGGTACCCAATTAGGAATGCATACCTTAATTTTCAGGCAGGGGGTATCAGATTAGCCAAAGGGGTGTCGGATTAGCCAAAGGGGGTGTGAGTATATCAATCCCCTTGTTAAATTCTCAGAGTACTTGTGAATACCAACCGCACGCTATCTTTTCTGTTGTATGTATAGGCCAATAATTATTTGACCCAAAATTTTGCGGTCACTTACCACTCCTGCTTCCGTTTACTATGAACAGGACATTTATTATGAATAGGATGACACTTGGTTTTGATCAGACCTTTTTATTTTGTTGACGGTACAGGCCATCATCGTGGTTGTTCAACCTTCAGCGGATCGAGGATTAGTTAGGCTTCTGTTTATCTCTTTCTATCCCCCCCCAATCTACATGCTTAGGAAAATAACGACTTAGAATGGACGGCCGACATGGTTCAAAGCATTCACTCTCTAGCGCATGAAAAGAGGCATATGCTCTTGAAGCCTATGCATAATTCCAATATATATTACATCGGAGTAGCCCTCTGTTCTTTCATATCCCAGGTAGTTACTCAAACAGTTAGTTTCTGGACTCCAAGGTCCACAGACCGCGTACATAGCACCCAGTTTGAGTGGTGTCAAGCAAGAGCAGCTCCGCAAGCGGCGAAATAATCTCCTTCGGCGCCATAATGTTTTCTGGCGTTTGTACTCGATTCGGAGTTGGTTGGTTATGGAGATGCCCAATAAGGGAGTTTATACATACAGCTCCCATCCTCATATCCCTGCCCCGACTCGTGAGGAAATAGTAAGATCTGGAAGACGGAAAAGCACAAGGTCCCGAAATTGATATTGCTTTAGAAGAGACGTCCTCAGCCAGCAACTTCTGTCCCGACTAACTATATCATTAAATGACCTTAACCTCGATCATACCCCGAAGCTCATATGAAAGTTTACGGGCAGACCTTGAGAGAAACTCTTAGTGGTCAGCTGTACGGTACCATTCAATAATAGCACCTAAGGCGGAAACAGACCAAGTTGAGGGCCTGCAGTCGAGATTTGAGGCCTCTTCTATGATAGTGATTTGTTCGCGTGATAAAACGCACGAAAAGTTAAAAGGTATACAGAGATGAGTAAAAGAGGAAGGCAGTCGAATTCATTATGACCCATCAATCAAAAGGTCGAAACAACTACGACAGGATTTTATTCCAGTGACTCTAAATAATCAGGACAAATAAGGTATACTTTAGTGAAATAGTCACTAGCTAGTTAGGCAAGTAGCTTAAGTTATATCTAAATTACACTAAGCTCTGATTGGCCTGTAATAGTTATAAGTCCCGCCGAGTGCGTTTAGCTCGATTTCAAGATAGCTTTTTGAGCAGATTAACCAAATCGATTAGTATTGCCAACTTGCCTACTGCCTAGGTGTATGATACTTCCAGTTCTAGTTATATACAGATGCCAGGATATCGAGTGTTCTAAGGGAAACAATATGATCCAATGATATTCTGCCGTTAGTTCAGCTAAAGGGGTCAATGCGGTGGTCGCGCGACCTAGGTGATTCTTACCCTGATTCTCACCCTGTCTATAGCGCACTTACCCTTATCACCCCCGGTCGCGCGACCGTAAAGCAGCACTCACCCGTTTCTCACCCGGGCGACACCCACCCGACTATCTGCCGCACATAAGCCACACGCCGGTGAGTTAGTAGTTGGGTGGGTGACCACCAGCGAATCCTCACTGTTGTATGTTTTTTTATCTTATTCTTTTTATTTACTCAAACTTTTTGATGGCTTAATCCCCATATCGCCAAGCTTTTATTTATTGATAATTGCTTTAATGCCTTCCCGGTTGCTCTAGGCGGTTGGCCCGGTCACCCATGCATAAAGTGTATAGAACCGAAAAAGGGAGGAATCATAGAAGATGAGGACGCTGGAAATCGTCCGTTGGGCAGAAATGCTAGTGAAAACCGAATATGAGAAATACTAAGCCTAGTAAGAAGGGAACGTAATGCATCAGACTAGCAATCTGGAGGGAGCCTAGGGACCGATAGCAAATCACGGAAGAGCATTACTTCCAAGGTTGGCACAGAACAGAAAGGAGATTAACGAAGGCGTTGATGGTGTGAAGGCAGGGATGGTTTGCAGGTTGTGCGGGACCCTTCACTCGTTCCTTATTTCAGCGCAAACCCCCCCACCCCCCTCAAACATACATTGTTGCAGTGAAAGACTGCGCAGACCTACGTCCGGTCTCCATGTACCATTGATGTGGCCAGCTCGATTGCCGTGGTGGAGCTTTCCTCTATGAATTCTTCTCGATCGGCCGGGTCACTCCAACCCTCTCGCTCATCTTTGATGACTCGGACGAAGAGCATATCCAGGATTACCGCCAACAATGCAATCCCAGCGCCGAAATACAGGGCTGCCCGGAATCCAAGAACTTGATCGGGTCTCTTCTTGTTGACCTCAGTCTCAATAGTGCCGGCAAACCCAAGGCCAAGGCTGTTACCATAGAGGTTTAGGGTCGCGATAAGGGAAGCAGCGATTCCTTGTTGCCGCCGCTTGACACTGTTACTTGCGACAATCTGGGCTGCCACATAGACAAAATCAGGGCAGAACGCCATGAATATCGTGGCCGGAAAAACCTGCGCCCAATACATCTGTTGTACTGGCATAGTTGCTAGAAGGATGTTGGCAATCAAGATGGTGGCGGAGCCAATCGCTAGTATCCACTGAGCTGCAAGCCGGGGTATGAGCCATGCTGCAATGAAAGTGCCCGCTGTTGCCACGATCACGAAAGGCGTCCACTCAATTCCAAATTGCAGTATAGTCTTTCCTCGCAACAGCTGCATCCAAGCGACCATGTACCATAGAAAGATCCCATTGGACATGAAGCTCAACAGGACCACAAACACGAGGACGGCAAATGATGGCGTTGCCCATATATCCAGCGGCATAATCAGAGTGTCTGCAAACCTGTACTCCCAAAGGCCAAACAGCGCCAATAACAGGATTGACACAGTTATAATGACAATTTCAAACGGAGCATTCCATCCGCTTGCGGGAGCTTGGCTAAGAGGTGTTAGCCAAACTGCTACAAAATCGATGTAAGACACACTTACTTCCACGCAACATTAAACAAAATCAGTCCGCTTGTGCCCAAGAGCGCACCGATCCAGTCTATTTTGCCGTATCGGTCAACAGGACGGTCGGGTGGCAGCAGTGTTCCCAGGGCGCCGAAAACGACTGCGCCCATTATTGCCCTGTCGTGGCATTTGTCAGTATCTTGAAGAAGGAGGTCGAGTCTTAAAAACCTCACAGGCCAAAGAAGATCCATTTCCAGCTAGTCCATTGAACAAAGATTCCAGCCCAGATAGCTCCTAGGTAGCTTCCAATCGGCGCAGATGCCCCGAAGAATCCGAGCGTTATATTTCGCGATCGACCAGGTGGGATGGTTGAGCTAATTAAAGCAACCGCATTGGGCATTATCAAAGCCCCGCCAATACCCGAAAGAGCACGTACCACGTTGAATGACACGAACGTCGTGCAGAAACCATTCACCAACGACCATAGGACTAGCCAAATAGAGCCGGCGACCAACACATTTCGGTGACCATACACAGAGCCAAGTCGGCCACTGACCAGCACAAATGTGCCCTGTGTCAATCTAGAGGAGTAGTAAGTGTCTCGAACGGGGCTATAGCGGTAGTGTCACATTACGCACGGATAAGAGGCGGCAGCCCAGTTGGCTTTCCCCGGCCCAACAGGTGCACCCAACACCCTACTAATTTCAAGGCCAGCGGCAAGTCCCACCATGTTGGAAATCATCTGGTCGGCTGTCAAAGTCTGTCGATTTACTCAGTGAGGAGTATTGCCTCACCTGTACCATGTTGCTTGCAACGATGAAAAAGATTATGACCCCTTGGCGTGTTTTGGAAACAATATTTGGTGAGATGGCGGCGAATTCCCGTCGATGTGGTTCGGTCTCCAGCCTTGCAATGTGGATACTTGCCCCTTGGCTGTTTTCATTGACTTCTTGTTGGATTTGAGACATTATGAAGGTGAAAACGACAAAAGGCGACGAGAAGACTCAGTCACTTCTCTTCGCAGGAGCTGCCGGTAATAACTACCAGGAGTTTTCAGTCAGGTGAGAAGGGAGAAGTGGTTGGGCCAGGTAAGAATGACGGCTGGAGGGTCTTAAGATCGTTCTAAGCCCGGTCAAGAGCGATTAGCCACAGGCAGGAAAAGTGGGAGTGAAGCGGGAATGGGCTTTTACCCTAGGCCCAGACTCAATCGGAACAGGGCCAACTATCGAATCAAATTTCCCGGGTACAAACCTAAAAGAGCACAGTTCTCATTAATACGAACACGACTCTAGTCCTCCATTTTCCACAAATGGCATTGCTTGAACAGTGTCTTGTGATTCTGGGTAATCTTCGGGAGTCAAGGGTAAACCTTATTTTCCTAGGTGGGAATTAAGGGTAAACTTCGGGATTAGTCATAGCACTAGGTGACACCTGCATATTCCATATTCGACGTCACTCACCGATTCCAGCAACTGGCCTGAGGGGTATCTGGAAGTGAGAAACTGTATGCGTTGGAACAGATACGATATTTTGCCTAACTTTACTTCAATCTTCACCAGCAATCTGTAGCTTTTCAAATGTTCAGAAAAGAGAAATGCTACGAGACACATACTCTTCATCTGGCGACACACTCCCCGATAGCTACTTCCAGTATGTCTACCGCTGGTTGATAATGGCGGCTAGTGGGAGACATACCCTAAGTAGTTTAGCATGATAGATGCATTTAGCCTAATTCAAGATTTTGGTTTTCACACTCTGATGTATCATAGTGTCACTCGCTTGTCTGCGGGATTTGAGAGGTTCTGTGGTCACGGCTGTCGCTGCATTGAGCCCCGCGACGTGAAAGCTGCTTTGCAGGATAAGATTCGCGTTAAGAGTATTCTACGCAGGGGGATGCTGTAAGAATAAGGCCTCTAGCGATGTGTAGGTGCCTCTTTGTGGCGTTGACTAGTATTCAAGTATTCCAAGAGTAATCGGAGAAGGAAAGACCTACATAACATCTTCGTTATCTGGTTTGTAGTCCGAAGAATCATCATCATTGGAAAGATCTAATGGGATTTAGATAGATCTCGCAAATTCAATCACCAAGACCGCAGCATTGATAAATGAAATTTCTTTGTTATCGGGTGCCGTATTCCCCTTCCTTCTGCCTTGGTAGTTTGTGATCCGATGGAGTTCCTCCGCCGCTATTGATTGCGATATCAGCTATTAAGGTATAGAGTAACCAGGTATATGAGTGTTATGGTGAATTTCATGGTGAGTCTTGTGGTGAGCTGTGAACGGTGATGTGTTGAGATGCGCTGTTTGGTGAGTGGTCGGGCGGTGAAGAAGATCTACCATTTTAAAATTAATATACTATTTTGGATCTTTGGGGCTTGTTGATATTTCGTGACAGATGACCTTCCTCTTTTCTCGGCCGTGCCAGAGACGGTTTACGTATCACCTTATAGCCGTATGGCTGTTCTAGAGCGTATACGGAGACAGATTGTGCAATCAATAACAAAGATCCGAATCTACAAAACAATCCAGTTAACGTCCACTGATTTACGCCTGGGCAGATATTCCCCATCTCCCACCAAGGTCAGCACATGGAGATTCCCGATTTTGATCATCTTCTCCGGCTGCGAAGAGTCCCCACCACTGGCGGCCTTCAACAACAAACCATCCCATTGTCCGGGTCGGTACCAATGATGAATAGCATAGTACGTCCCACGCACTCCGTAGATCTCCGGGATGAGCCGTTTAATCCAGTATCGGAGATCCCCATGATACATGCTTCTAATAGCCATGAGATTGAAAATAAAGAGAAAGTGATATAGCGCCGGGGGTAGAGGGAACGACAAGCAACCGGCAGATCATGTAAAAGAAAGACATAAGTATCGCTCATCGTGGCAAATGGCCCGAGTCATTCGACCTGGGCTTCTGATTTTCCGTTCCTTGCAGTTCAGCTTGAACAGGTCTTCGCTTGGCCTTGGTGATTTCGTCATTTTGAATTGTATTGCCGCGGGAACTCAAAAGCGACAGACAACTCACGGAAAGCAGGCTGCTGATATCGGTGCTTCCATCTTTCGCTAGGAAGGGATCAGCGCCATCGAAATCTCGTAGGAGCTTCTCGATCAGTTCAGCAGGGCCACTAGCATGGAGAATGTTACCGATAGCTGCATGGACAGCTAAAAACTCTGGGTTTGGATCTCTGAAACGGGTATCATTGTTTGTAAGGGTGATGAAAGTTGCCGTCGGATAATTCACAAGGCATGAGCGTCTCGGGAATTTCTTCAATCGATACCGGTTTGGTACTGTTGTTGGCTCAAGAATGAAATGGAACATTCCGAAGTCTTCATGAAAAACAGAAGCCATCATTAGGATGTTATCTTCGCGATTAACATCACCTAATAACATATTGAGACGGGACCGTAAATTTGGAAACCATCGAAAGATATTAGTCCATACTGCCGACATTTTACCTCGCTCGTCGTCGGTGCGAAAATTTCCAAGGCAGAAGGGAATAATGTGAACTGCTTGCAATTTGTGTACAGGCCGCCCGGGGGGATGTGGGGTGGTATCCATATCCCAGGTTCCTGTTATCGCACATTTATAGCCATCGCGGGCTAAGCACTCCTGGCGGAGTCGCTGCTGGTCAACTCGTGTCACGGATTCTACATCGAAGGTGTTCAAGTATTCGATCGAGTCCTCAAGACCGAGACGAGATGAGGGAGTGACTGCCGGTGTTTTACCACCGGTAGACAACATAGGGCGGAGAAGACCTGTGTCTATGCTCTCGGCAAGTTGTCTAACCTCCTGGTCATCTTGACATCCAGATAAGTCTTCGATCAGGTTACGCTGTCCGTCTGCGGGCAGGTACTTGAAAACAATCTGGAGAAAAAAAGGTGTGTCGTCTGTTGAACTCAAAGGCTGGTAGCCCTGTAAAGTATGATTCAGGGATACTTGAAGTTCGGAGGTGGAGAGTTCTGATGTGACGGATGGACTTAAGCTTCGCAGGTCCGACATTGTAGATTGTGCAAGTCAAACAAATAACAGAAGAGGCCTTTCTGAACTTGGATAGAAAGGAATTTTGGATCTTTGCTCAGGAACGAGACAACGGGGAAAGGAAGTTATCGGCTTGAAGTGGTGAGAAAAGGGAGAAGAGAAGTACAACAAGAAGAGAAGTTGATGTCAGACTCTAGGATGAATACCGTCATTTTTTCATCTGTCAAGAATGGGATATGGCCCCTCTAGGCCCTAAACAAGAACCTTGGTTTTTGTTATGGTCTAGTGGTAAATTACGCTGTACGAAATTCGACATCATCCTTGATACAGATGGGTCACGTGATTTACCAGGCTGGTTTTACTGCAGAAAAAAAACATCCTTTCGTTTTTGTTTTGTTTGTTTTTGTTTACTAAGTTGTCCACAAGATTGTCATTTTAGAGCTTATGTCTCATCGTCATCATTGGGTCAGGTGACCTCTCTCTCTAGATGGTCATAGCGTCAGATAGATATGTCAAGTGCTTATGTCTCGTTAAGCTTAATTTCTAAAAAGTTATTATTAGAGTTCCACAAATACATATGTTATTATTATATTTCATTCACACCGAGTTAAAAAAAAAAAAACATACAACAGTGAGGATTCGCTGGTGGTCACCCACCCAACTACTAACTCACCGGCGTGTGGCTTGAGTACGGCTGAGCGGACGGGAAGCCCTATTTTCCACACCCTATGGTCGTATGTGTCAGTTTAGATATTGGAGGGGAACATAAAGCAGCTGAGAATTATAGACTACAGCTGTGGGACAAGTTAGAGAATTTATTGAGATACGAAGTAAGCATCTTACGTCTTCGATAGTACAGACTAATATCTACGGCAGCCGAAATGGGCCATATTGGACAATGCGGTTTCTACCATGCAATCACTACTAGCGGAACAATACAATACCAGTGAAACTCAAATAAAGATACAACATGGATCAACGGCGATACATGTACGGGGTAAGATCTTTTGAATACGTTTTCGCCGCCAATACACACTACCATTTTCCGCCTTGTGGAATCCCCGCACGGGTAGGCAACAACATAACATAACAACACCCCGAATGAAAGCGCCTTTCTACTCCGAGTACTCATCTTTTGTCTAGCCACATTCTTCATATTCGTGACCCACGGGACTTGAGCTGAAGCAAGCGAAAACACTACCATGAAAAAATCACTTCTGCTGGGAGATTTCGCCAGAAAACAGCAATTACAGGCTTCTCGCCCGAAATATTGGGCCATCGTCTCGGTGATTTTGATCTGTTCTTTGTTTGCTCTCAAACACTGGTCGGTAGAAATACCAACATGGCACCAGCATAGGACCCTCAAATACACTGGTGAACAGATAAGTTGGGAGCCTCGTGGATTCATCAAGGGGAACTTCGTGGAGTGCGGCAATGTTTTTGTCCCCATGGATCAATTCAACCAGAGCAACTCGGGAAATAAAATCTTCACCATTCCACTCATCCGCATGCGCGGCACGAACGCAACCCAGAACCTCATTCTCAATCCAGGTGGCCCTGGAGCGAGTGGTTTCGAATTCCTCAACCAGAATGCAGAGCAGCTGAGGGCTATAGTTGGCGAAGGGCTCCACCTAGTCTCGTTCGATCCTCGCGGTGTTAATAGCTCGATGCCGCTAGCCTCCTGCTATCCCGATGTCAAATCTCGAAAGGATTTAGCTCATGTCAGATCTCGCAATGTCGAGATTGACAGCCCTGAAGTCTATGCATGGACACAGAACTTTGTCAAGGCATGCCACGATACGATGGGAGAACACGCCAAGTATTTAAACACTCCCCAGACAGCGGCTGATATGAATGATATTCTGGATGCACTTGGCCAGAGAGACATGATTTATTGGGGTTTCAGTTACGGCAGCCTTCTGGGGCAGACCTACGCGGGACTGTTCCCCGAGCGTTCGAAACGTGTCATCATCGACGGTGTCGTGAACCAATTCAAATGGTACGACGGTACTTTTGAAATAGAGTCCCAGGTTGACACGGACAAGGTACTTGATGGGTTTTTTGAAGAGTGTACCAGAGCAGGCACAAAAAAATGCCCACTATCCTCGCTCGCAACATCTGTGGAATTGCGCGATACGGTCCTTTCTTATATGAATAGGCTCCGAGAACAGCCAATTGGTGTGTACGTGAACAATACAGCACATGGTGTACTAGGGTATGAAGAGCTCTGGTATGATGGTGTTTTACCAGCCCTTTACTATCCCTCCACGTGGGGTACACTTGCCAACAACTTGTACAGTCTCATTCAAGGAAATGCGACAAATGCTTTTCTTGCATATGGGCGTGAAGATTCTTGGGATATGGGCCATGAGGCAAGCGAGTTTATCAGATTGAACGATGGCCTGAGTGGTCCCAAAAATTGGCCCCAAGACAGGCAACCGCTACTTGATTATATCTTGACTTCGTTCAATCAGAGTATGTTCGGCGCTAGACACAGCAAAATATTCTTCATGAGACAGCAGTGGACTATGCCGAGGACACACTCTTACGTACCACGCAAGGGAGTTACAACGGCGCATCCGCTGCTGATTCTATCAACTACTTGGGATCCTGTAACTCCTCTTACATCTGCCCGCTCGGCGAAGGAGGCATTTCAAGATTCACAAATCGTCGAAGTCAAAGCTTATGGCCATTGCTCTATCGCGGTGGATTCCTCATGTGCTGCAAATATTATACGCGATTTCCTGTACGAAGGCAAATTGCCTCATGCATATACGGAATGTGAAGTGGACTCCCCTTACTTCAAGGAGAGCGATTAACTCTCTGTGGGAAGATATTTGCGGGGGCGAGAAATTGGAATCCGTAGGCACATGCCTAGATACGCCGCGATTTCATCGCAATACTTCAATTCCAGGGAAAAACGCTGCATCTGCCTCCTTGCTGCACATGCGACCAGTCGATTGTCTAGCCCTTCCAAGCCAAAAATTGTAGTTGAGGAAGCTCAACCCCATAGATTCATTGTACGGTGAACGAAGTTGTGGATAGCCGGTTTTGCATGCCTCTCAATATTATTCGCAATTTGCCAGAGGGAAAGCATATTGATGGTATCTGAGAAGACCTATAGATAATAGTTTACTAGTAGATAATAGATAAAGGGTTAGGATTATAATACTAACCTGCTTGATAGCCTTCATAGGCGCTCTCTCTTTATCCGTGAGGATAGTCAGGGGGCCAGGGCAGGCTCGGTGGCAAGAGTCTTCAGCCCCCTTCAGCCTATTCACCCGAATGCTGTCTTAGTTACTAATGTAGGCACTAACTACGCAAGAAGGAAGTGATAAACCAGAAGTGAGAGCATATGACTTATAGAGAAATAATGTGCTTACTTTTGGGTTCAGTGGGGAATTCCGATTGAGGGAATTTTGGGATAACCTTCCGGTATGTGGGTCAGGAAAAAGCTTCAAAGTGCATACACATATCAACAAGCAATCGTCTTTAGGGTACGAGAGGTCCGAGAGTGCTTGGGAAATTAATGTCTTACCTTAGCTCATAAAAGGCGTTGTGATGGCTCCACTACTGGTCCGATACGTATAGTATTCGCAAGTTTCATTAGACGAAAGAGACCCTGCCCTATCTCTTGGTATGGAGAGCCGGGCATAGGTGTTTTACGGAGTAGACTGGCAGAAATAAAAATACAGAGGGCTTAATAAGCAAAGTATCGAACCTTGGAACTAACTTTGGAAAAAGAATGAAGCTATTCCCGTCATACAAATCTCCGCATATCCCATTTCTAGGCGTTGAAGCTGTTGCGAACGGACAAATCTCTCTGAAGAATTTATACCAATCTCCGTATGCACCTATTTATAGGTATAGAAGCTGTTACGACCGTGCAAATGGTTTGTGGGGTGAAAATAGCTTTAATTCAGTGGTTTATGCGGTCGGGGACGGTTCCTGACGCTAGGGCGGGAATAGCTTCAATTTACACTACCTACACGGTCTAGAGCGGTGTCGAAAGCGGTCTATGATTCAGGCATATTAAGGCATAAACCCAGCAAAATCAGGCCTTCGCAAATGTAGGTTTATTCTTACTTTTTATGTTTAATTCCTTTGCTTCAAGAAAGTGTAGCTAGGTGAGAGTTACACACTTCCGATCAGTGCAGCTTCTCACGCGAGTCCCGCACAACGTGGAAACACGCCACCCCATCGTTGGCCAGTTGCGCGACAAGCCCATACTCCCAGTCGAGATATCCTTGCATATCCTTGCGAGCGTTACTTGTCCCTTCATACGGTCTTTTATACACGTCGATTGGCTGCGACAAACATCGCAATTCGGTCTCGAGGGGGTGACCAGCAGCCACCCAGGCCGTTGTCCCTCCCGTCAGATACAGAACTTGTCGTGAGACTGAGTTGCGTGCGTCGTCAACGTTCGTGGCGGCAACGTCACCATCGGGCGAGGTCAGCACGATAGGGCCGTCACCGTCGATAGCCCTCAGATCTCGCGCAAGTTCCGGTCCAGAAGCGAACCATGCGCCCGGAATGTGGCCTTTGCGATAAGACGGACTGCGGGCGAGATCGACCACAGTCGCTCCCTCGAGGTTCTGAAGGTCGTTCACCGTGATAGCGCCATCCTTTGGAGGATTCCACGAAGAGACTTCAGGCAACACAAGCCTATCAGGCACCGCCGATCGCTCTTCAAAGACATACACCTCCCATCCGAGTTGCAAGAGCCAGCTGGCTGTCATGCGCCCTCGTACACCATCCGTATCGTACAGAACAATGCGAGCTCCCCGAACACCCACCCATTCATCGGTGGCTTGTACCAATTGACCACCCGGAGCATTGGAGAAGCCGGTCGGGTGTCCAAGGGCATACTCTTCCGGGTCTCTCACATCTAGCAGATACAGACTTCGATTTTCCGACTCCGTACTAAATCGAGTGAGCTGATCGCCATTAATAATAGAGACGCCGACGTGATTCGCCCACGATTCAGCGTATTCCCGCGCTTTTTGTAATGCCTCAACTGAAGGACCTGGGACCCGTTCCGTCTGTTTAGTCTCTAGTTCCAAACCCTCCAATGTCCACCCGATCGTCCCATTCCGGAGCGCTACCACTTTATTCGGAATTCCAGAATTCACCAAAGATTGGGTCCCAACAATACTCCGCGTTCGACCTGCACAATTGACGACCACTGTGGTTTCCGGAGAGGGTACAGCTTCGAAAAAGCGATATAGAAGTTCTCCCCCTGGACAGCTGCGGCCCCGGGGAATGCTCATTGTTTTATACTCCTCAAAACGCCGGGCATCCAAGACAACCACATCAGTCTCACTCTCCAGAACATCCTTGATATCCCGCGCAGATAAGGATGGAGTGTGGTTGATCGATTCGACAAGCTCGCCAAAAGCCTTGGATGGAACATTGACATCGCGATAGACCTCACCAACGAGGGCGTAGCCGGAAAGCCCGCCTTGCAGGATGGCAACATCTCGATATCCCAGCGCTAATATCCGGACAGTAGCCCGAGCTGCATAACCTTCACCGTCGTCGTAGACCACAATCGGGGCTGACAATCTAGGAACCAGTGGAGGCAACTTCTTCTCGATCTCCGAAACTGGCACACTTAGTGCGAATAGAGGATGGGACTCGGAATAGGGGCCTTCTTCGCGGACGTCGAGGAGGGCAACTTCATGGTGATTTACCCAATGCTGACGCAATTCGCGTGCGGTTATGGATTTGGCCATTTTGCTGTTCAACTAGAATGAAAATTTTCCGATTGAATTGAAAGGAAATAAATGGAAATTACAGCGAAGCGACGCTACACAGAAGCTCGGCAGTTTTTTCTCGGAGGATTTTCGACAAACCCGCAAACCACAGCTCCGAACATTGATATTCAGAAGCACACGCAATACTTGAGCTTTTGATGTCTTCTATTGACACCTTTCATCCCAATCACTGACTCGGCATGATGCATAGAATCTGCTGCTCAGAGGCTGCACTACCCCGCTCGAAGCTCGGTTGACGCCATCTCAGCGCAGGATGACCAATCCTCCAATTCCACCTGGACGTCAACTTCCGACCTCGGTCCTGTGCTTGTTAGATCAAACTAATACATTCAACATAGTATGTATCCCACTCGACAACGAAATTCCTGCGAAGCATGCCGTGAGCTGAGCCGTTCTCCACTCCTTGAATGTCTGGCTAATGTTAAATAGGGGCACGGAAGCTCAGATGCTCAGGCGAAAAGAGTGGTTGCTCTCGTTGCCGGGGCTTAACATTGACATGTAAATTCAAAGACAAAGGAGCCCCTGGAAGGCCGAGAAAGCGCGCACGACAAGAGGAACCAGACCGCGATTTACCGAACGAAGAGGAGCGAATAGGATCTTCAAGCTCCTCGCATTTCTCGCCTGTCATTTCTCAATCGCCCTTTGACTCTCATGAAGCCGGCAATATGTTAATGGGAGCCGGTGAGTTCGACTCATTACCATACGAGCTATCCGGTAGCTGCGGATTCGATTCCTCGCACTGGGAGATGCTCGGGAACGGCGATATGTGTTCCTTTCCCATTGAGCTATTGCACACATCACGCCAGAGCGGATTGCATAACCCGGAGGTACCCTCAAGAGCCTTGGATGCATACGTCTCTCCCATGTCGTTCTCTCAGTCTTGTAAATGCGACGAAGAGGTTTCCGATATAATCCGGAGCCTGAGCCGCGCGAATATGTCACACGATATCGTTCCGATGCTCCGCGCAGGCGTGTCCCTCACAGAGAGACTACTGACCTGTCCTATGTGCTACGATGTGTCCAAACCGCCTCGAGTAACGGTTCAAAATGTGCTCCTCATCGGCCAGCTCATGTTTGAAATAACATCCGGCTACCAAAGGTACATCCGCTGGCTGCATAAGCACTGCACTGAGCTAGATATCAGCAACGAGACTAGGACCGTCTATCTTGACTGTGGGCTTGGAATACCGTCAGAGTTGAATCTACAAATCAGCGGCGAGAAGCTCCGGGACCTTGTCGTGCACGGCCTCCAGACAGATACAGACCGGCTTTTGGTGTTCGGTGAACAGTTTGCGCAGCGGCAACGCAATCGCCATATGGTCGGCCACGAAAATTGCCCCAATTCTGAAGGCCGTTGTCGGAGAAAGGAGGATGCTGTTGATCACGACCCGCTCGATCTCTGTCCACATGATCCGATAGCGCGGAAGTTGGTGCCTTGTTTCCGTATCGTTGATGAGGTTCGCGGGATGATCAAGCAAGTTGCAGATGCCGTGGTGTGATACCCGTGTTTATAGCGTATTCTTTTAAGGTGTTCCCGAAAGACCTGGCATGATAAATTTGTTGCCTACTTTGGTGGGCGCGTAGATTTTACATTTTACATCTTTCTATATGTATCATAAACGAGAAGCCAGCGGAACAATGTTAATTTATGCAAAATGTTCATCTAGCTCTTATTACACGTCGACCCCACACTGTGGCAACCATTCATTTTAAGCTTTCCACAAGGTGAGGGCAATTTCCCAAGCCGGCAAAAGCATGAAGATGTAATTTCAACATCTGCCTCCACAAGAGCAAGGGAAAGTTGTTTCTTGATAATATTGGCCTCCGCATGGCGATCCAAAAGCTGAAGGCACTCATGATATCCATGCAAAGCCCAAACATTATTCGGGTGTTGGTGGGTGCGTTTGGGTGTCGGGAAAAGCCCCAAATCTTCAGCATAAGCCTGTGCAGCCTGCTCAACTCTGCCCTGTTCCAATGACAGGGCTGCATATGGATGCCGAGCTGGAAGCATCCACCCCCATGGCTCTGCGAAAGGCAGCTCGTCTTCCAGAGTGATTGCCTCCCGTAATCTGCGGAATGCTTCATCATAATCGCCTCTTCTATACTCGATCTCGCCATCCATCATAGCAGCTGCGATTTTGAGAATGTCGGTGATTTTGTTGGGGAAGTCGAGGCGTGTGGGGGGAACAAGCTTCGAAGCGGCTTTGAAAAGCTCTCGCTCTTGGTCGGCTTCCTCGAGCTGCGACGTGGCCGCATACGCGATGGCCTTTCCATAGTGTCTCATCACATTCGTCACACAATAGAGATTCTTATCTTCGAGCGGGTCGAGCTTCTTGAGTTCTTCCCACATCCCAAACCGGATGAGCACATGGACTCTGACGGCCTTGAAAAATTCCATCCAGTTTGCAAGCGCAGGCGTCTCGACGCGCAGAATTTCTTCTGTGATAGTCGCCTCCATTCGCTCCGTCGCTGACAATGCCGCCTTTGATTTCCCACCAAGCATCGCAGCGTAGATGAGGGAGTGATAGTCGTGTAAGCGATAATAGCTGTAGAATGTCAAGCCGCCATTCTGTTCAAAGAATTTGTCATCTGCGACGGTCGCTTTCAGATTGTATTCCACAGCACGGCGATAATCGCCCACGAGAACATCAATATGCGCGGGCATATGGAAGGTATGGCCTGTATCGGGAAATATTTCACGGATCATCTCTGCTGCCGGCAGAGCAGCCTCAGGAGTCGCCGACATTTCCATCAGGTGGATATACATGTGCGCGGGACCGGGATGAAGTTCAACTTTCGGCATCTGCAACGCCCGATCAAGTAGATCTTTCACTTCGAATACCGGAGAAGACGCTATCGGCAGCCCCGTGGAGGCGTCGTATAACTTCCGCGGTGCGCAATTCATCAATGCGTCCGCGAATAGTGTGATAATGTCAAAGTCTTCGCGACCGAAACTTATATACACCTCTCTCATGGCATCGGCATACGCTCGGCTACATCCTGCAAGATCCCTACTTGGATCATCGTTGGGGTATCGTTCTGCAAGAGCCTTGATGAGCGCCTGCTCCCAATCTGATGCATTGTTTGCCCGCCTCAGTGCTTCTTGAGAATATATATAACACTGTTTGATTGCATTGAGTCGATCTCTTTGGTCGAACAGCGCCCATGTTTTGTTGTAATTGGACCCCGAGCAGAAGGATATCCCCCAGTAGGCCATGGCGCAATTTTCGTCGTGCGCGATTGCCTGCTTGTAACAGGTGATTGCTTCATCATGATTAAAGCAATATGTCCAGACAAGGGCCCTGTTGAACCATATCTGGGCTTCCTGGGAATTGGTGCTGACTTTGCGGCTCAATGTTCCCAGGTCAAAGTAGGGGTCACTCGTAGCCCTTGCGGGCGATTGGGTGTCAACTGAGTTCATTGTCCAAGCTAGATGAGCCGAATACCAAGGATGCTGTGTCAGAAACCTGTCTGCGAATAAGGAATAATCATGTAGAAGACCACATGAAGAGGTTCCCACAAATTGTGAGGGGTATGTATGGAGTCGGAGGGTTTTTATTAGCCGCGGGGAGATCGCGCGATTTTGATTCGATTCTCGGACCTTTTTTGGAACTTGGAGTAATTGGATATCGGGGTAATTAACATCATACAAAGTAAAAGAACATCATTTTTTCTGAAGATCATCACGTCACGGATAGTATTCACTGAATTTTTGTCAACGATGGAGTTGGGCTTTGGTCTATAATCTACAGCTTGTATATAGGTTTCCGCAATATATCTAGGCTTGTCAACAGCTCTTCCCTCAATTGTTCTTCAAGTCATTGTCCACAACATCTTCCAAAATCGTCTCGCCCCTTTTTTCCGCTGCGATTTTAGCTAGCTTCAGCCGCCTCGTGTCACGCTCCGTCTCCTGTGTCACCCACCACGTCACCACCGTCAAGATCGCGCAAGTACCCACAAGACCGATGGCAACGGAGAAGGGCACTGTGTAGTGTGGTCCAAATTTACTTTGAAACAACTGCGGGCCAATGGCGCCGCCAATTTGGCCGTAGCTGTTGACAAATCCGATAGAGAAGGCGGATCCCGTAGCTCGAGAGGTGGTTTGTACGCGCCATGGCCTATTATCACGTTGTGAGCTATACAAACATATGAAGTGGATGAGGACATAGGAAACTTACCACATGACTGGGTACCATGATGCAGTCACGGCATTTCCGATCAGCGTTACCGCGTATATAGCAGCATTACTCGGATAGGCAACAAAGACCCCGTAGCAGACTATGATGATAACAAGGAAGGTAAGTGGGTATAATGGCCGGGGTATCCGGCTACGGTCTGCTGTAATTCCTGTAGCCGCAATGACTAGGAGACCACAGATCGTGATGGGGATATTGAGAAGCTGGGCTTGGGCAATGCTCCTAAGAGTCTGTTAGCAATGCCCGTTGAAGTCATAACTGTATGCGGAAAGTAACCAACTTACGTGTATCCGAGGTTGGCAATAACCGTCGATTGATAGAATGTGACACCGTTGGTTCCAACAGTAAAGGTAGCCCAAATGGCCGTAAACAGCCACAGCCTCCGATCTTTCAGTGACTCGATAACTTCACGCAGCTTGAAGTGCTGCTCATTTCCACGGGGAGAATTAGATGGGAGTCGAGCCTGGATAAACTTCTTCTCCCTCTCAGTCAACCATTTGGCTGTCTCGGGAACTATCTCGCGTTTTCGCATATCAGTCACTGGCGTCGTGTTATGAGCAAAGGATGACCCTTACAGTCTGGGAGTAAGAACCAAATCACAAATCCAAAAAGAACGGTCGCAATGCCTTCTGAGAGGAATAACCTAGAGTAATTTTAGTACGGATTCAGGAATGGATATAAGAGAACGCTACCATTGCCACCCGGAAAGGCCGCCTGCACCAGATGCGTTGTCAAACCCATAGGCAAGAAGACCACCGAAGATACCCGAGATATTTCCGCAAATATCTTTATATCGTCAGTTAAAAATTTCATGTAGTGCGAGATGTTTTGCGAGCGGATCGTGTGTAGCTTACAGAAGTAGAGCAGTCGTAAGGACATCTCGTCCGGGCGATACCAGTAAGTCATCTGGAGAATGACACCGGGGAACTGTCCAGCCTCGGCCTATTGCGGTGTTAGTCTATTCCATTTTGGAATCATGAGACATATTGGCGCGGTAACGTACTACACCCAGTAGGAACCGTGTCGTATATAAACCGCCCTTATTCTTCACAGCAGCATTGCACATGAGAGCGATACCCCAGCTGATCATAATCCTTGATTGCCACTTTGAAGGGGAGCATCTCTTGAGCAGTAAATTTGAGGGTGCTTCTAGCAAAATGTATGGGACCTGTCACATATGATTAGCGATACGCCACGGCATCTGGATCAAGACTGGCTGGATATCTTACATAGTAAAGCACAGTCACAAGATTGTACTCGTTAGATGTGATTCCGAGCTGTGTCATGATATTCTGATCCGTTCCCTTGTTCATGATTCGAGCATTGGATGCCTGCGAGGCTGTCAGTTATAATGTCCCACCTAGTATCCTTGTGTATACGCACATTGTTGCTGTCCAGATTCTTAAACATAAAAATGAGTGAACAAAGCGTCATTAACCGCCAGTCGATCTTGCGTAGTAGCTTCTTTTCCTCTGCTGCCGTGAGCAGTGTCCTACCATTCATAAGCTCCGGATCGTAGCCATTGATGGTTTCCAGGCTTGATGAGGCTTCTTCAAGAGCTTCACCACGTCTCGCAAAATGAAGCTCATGATTGGTATCGGTATCATTGGTGGAAATAATATCGGTGGCCGTGGTCTTGCCCAAATCTTTGGATGAGATGCGCCCGTCTTCTCTGTCTGCCATTGTAGCGATGTTGCTTTCGACAGTATAATTCTCAAATTATTACTGTTGACAGTCCCGGTTCAACGCGAGTTGTCATTGATAGATCGCCATGCATCTCCTTTATCAGTCCGGAAACCCTCCGAAAAACATTATAGAAGCTTAGACCAAGCTCCAAACCTAGCAGATAAAAAATTGTATCATAGTCGAAAAGTATTGCAAATGCTATGGCCTAGGCCATACTTGCTGCTGTCAAGTCCTGACATACAATATAGTCTCAATTGGATTCAAATCCAGATGGAGATAGTCTATTCGAATATTTTTGGAATCAATCTCTTTACTTTCGTCAATAATTATATATCGAATTTAGTAAAATCGTGTAGTTAATATCCTCATAAGTACGTTCCCGGTCAAAGTCATTCATTCCCTTATTTGGAGTTATCATTGGAAATATTGTAGAAGTGCGTAAGTCGCGATTTAGTGAGGGAACAGTCGCTGATCACGCAAACGGAGGATATCATGATGAGATCTAAAGCCCACGTGGCGTAAAGAGGTCCACCTGCACTCGCACCAATCTGGCCGGCCTTGCATATCAACCTTGCGGGCTGTCAATGGAATAAACCTACAAATTGCCCGATTGGAATGGATTCAACAATAAGCTCAAGGGTCAACTACAAATCCGCTACAAAACCAAGGATATCGCGATCTTGATAAACCCCCCATCTGTCAGATATAGTGCAAATGCACGCTATTGTCTCCATAACCAAATCCTTCTACTCCAGCTTGCTGTGATATATTCTTTTTATATATTTTCTTCCACTATCTTGCATGAACCATGGCAACTTTGACCCAACCTCCAGCCCCTGTTCCTACGGGATCTGATATCCCAACATACAGTCAGGTCCCGGAGACTACTTTTGATCGTAAGTGGTTTAATGCAAAACCTAGGGTCCTAGCCGAGATTTGAGACACCATGCTAACGTGTAACTTGCATATAGTGGACTGGGCGGATCTCGCTACCTTGGATCTGTCTCTGTTCGACCAGCCCGGCGGTAAAGAGCAGTTAGCCAAGCAACTTTTTGAGGCTATCCAGAATATAGGTCAGTAGTATATGTTTCCAACACCAGCTTCCCATGATTGTATACTTATCTGGCATTAGGCTTCTTTTATATTACCAACTTCGGGCTCTCGCAGGAAGATGTTGACCGCCAATTCGCTATTGGCAAGGAGATATTCAAGCTCCCAATAAAGGAGAAACTCAAGTATCGTGCGGAGCTTGAGAAAGGTGGCTACAATGGCTACAAGCCAATGGGTCTCCGGGTAAGTCGAATGCCGATAATCTACGGCGAGAAACAATCATATCTAACCCTAGGTTAGGAAATTAGTCCGGGTGTCTATGACAAGACAGAAATCTACAACATCCCAAAATTCATCCCAGCCCTCGAGCTTCCCCAACCGGACATTGTGAACAACAATCGTCCTATTATAGAAGGCTTCGCACGCCACATTCATGACCAAATCGCGGCCAAACTTCTCACGCTCTTCGCCATTATCCTCGAGCTACCCGAGGACTATTTCCTAAAAGTGCATCGCTATGATGAAAAAAGCGACTGCCACCTACGGTACATGAAGTACCACCGGCGTTCAGACGAAGAAAACGAGAAGGCCGCCGGGATTTGGTCCAAGGGCCATACCGACTTCGGCAGCTTGACTCTGCTGTTCCGCCAACCCGTTGCTGCGCTGCAGGTTCGCACCCCAGAGGGCGAGTGGAAGTGGGTGAAGCCGTACCCCGGGAGCATCACGGTGAATCTTGCGGACTCTCTCCACTTCCTCACCAACGGCTTCCTCAAGAGCAGCATACACCGTGTTGTTGCACCGCCGCCCGATCAGAGGGATGTAGATCGTCTAGGTGTTTTGTACTTTGTTCGACCGGAGGATAGCCTCGAGCTGCGACCGGTTGTGAGTGACGTGCTGCATCGTCTGGGATATGACCAGACAACCGATAATAGTGCGGTTGGTATCACTGCTGGCGAGTGGGTGAAGGCGAGAGTGGCCAAGGGGGTTGACAAAGGTGTGGCTCGGAGTGAAATCGGAGACCAGCCTATCATTGGGGGTGTAGTTGCTAAGTATTATGATTAGGCTCTAACTTTTGTGCTGTTGATGTTCTGTACATATGTTGTTGTTTCCTTCCTTTATATCGTTATGGATGTCTGGGTGACTAGTGACTTCCTCAACAGTTTTGAGGAAGGAGCGACCTTACCTCATCTCTGTATCTCCTCAGAAGCGTGCAGTCAGAGACCTCCCCTCGTTCCTAGGGGTATCCCACCTTACCGGTCTCGGGGATCTCTCCGATGCGCTGCGCGGGAGAATTAAGTGGTCTGAATGGCCTATTGTTACTGAACTCGAAGCCCTCTTCGGAGAGGATAGACAGGCCGCGCATAAATAGGCGGTCCAATGGAGACTTCATGCTTCTCGGCAGTTCATAGAAGCCTTTGTACGAACTGTTTCCGCCGAAAAGCCAGCGTACGGCAACCAATCGTTCTTTCATCTTCTGAAGGAGGGGGAGCCGATTCCTAATGTTCACCTGCAGTACCAAAAAAGGGTGCTTAGTGATAGCGAATGTGAATGTGAATGTGAATGTGAATTCGCCATTACAAATTCTTTATTTGAATCAGAATCTTGTTCGAGCGCGAAGTTAGCGTGCCGTGTGCTGTCACGGCCGAAAGGAATGTTCAGCCGAAAGGAATGCTCAACCTCAACCTTCCCTCCGAGATCAAACTTTTCAAATCCACGGCTCTGGTTTTGGAGATCATTAGGAAGCTGGAACCTACTGGACTTGTTGACCTCAATGTCCTTAAGGAGGGCATGAGATCATTACAGAGACATCACTGGGCTCCATGTGGGTTTCTGGTCAGCAACTTGACCCATTCTATGTATTTGCTCTGCTTACAAGTCTGAGATGCTATGACCAAGCAGGCCTTACCTAATGGATACGCCTCTCATATAACGGAGATGTCAGTGACGGGCTATGGCATATATCAACTCCAGGAGGTGGCTTTGGCGTTATTCCATAAGCACTTACCTAAACATCATACTCTAGTTAGCGCGTGCAAATTCTAGGCTATAAGAGCAATATACTAAAATTCCAGCCAGTACTCCCGGACAGTTCAACGAAAAAACCAAGCCCGTTGTATGGCCTTCATAACTTCTGCTATTCGTGACCTTGAGAAAAACGAAGCACATCTCAATGACCAGAACGAATCCGTGTCTGTTTTGCAACAACTGTATCTCACAACGACTTGTCGTTCGATGTTCCTTAGGCAGCTCCGTGACTCTGGAGTTAATAGATACTCACAAAAGGAGTGTGGATGCATTGACCAGGGGAGTAATCGGAGGTCATCTTGGCTGGACGATATTGTCATTATCCGGGTTGGACAAGATGCGCTGGAAGATTATGCTATGTTTGGTAAAAGGTTACTGGAAGAAATTACACGCCGGAGAGTTCTGGAAGAAGCCAAGAGCCTGGAAGATATTGTGAGGACGTAGAAGGACATTTTTGGGCCTCTCTTCAACATCTTGAGCACAGTGAATCGCTCATTTTATATGAGACATTGACCCGGGTTATCGACTTAATTTCAAGTGAAGTAAATCATAGGGCTGTACCAATGAGATGAACACCAAGCCTGAATTGCTAGAAGGCCTATATCTCAATTTATATTGGCGTGTTCAATTTTCTTCGTGGTGTTATATATACCAGTCGGCCTTATGACGGATCGTTCAATACAAAATTAACCAACTACGGCTTAGCGACTCCTATGACTAGGGTTTGAAAAGGCTGCTCTGCGTTGTCCTACATCGAAGGCGAAAGTGATACTATATAATTTTTCGTCTTAAGTGGAAGCGAGAGATTTAAAAATGCAGAACTAAAGTCTCATCCGATTCGATTTATCTGTCCGTTCCTTGTGGCAAAACACCCCAGTGCATGATTGTATCTAGATAATGAGGTATCAGATACCACGTCCGACTGTCTGGTTGCACTTACTGCAAGAATGCATGCTGTGAGTTGTGAGCATAAGACTAAGGAACATTATATAGAGAGCCCAACCTCGAATAAGTAAGAAAACGATACTGAGCTAATATACTCTACAAAATGAATCGCATACTTCGACAGCCTAAACCCGATTTGCTGGGCTCTAACTTGGTCTTCGCGTTCATCTAAAGATCTCTGTGGATCACCGAGTTGAAGCAACAGTAATCCAACATTTTCGCGATCTAAATCCATAGACGTAGGTCTATCATCAATCATACTGTCTCCGATGTTTGCTAAACAATTAGTTATGTATTGATGAATGAAAACAGTATATGACACTTACCTATCTTAATGCCTCCATCAGAACATAGGATAATGTTGTCACAGTCGATATGCCCATGGACTATCAGAAGCTGTTCATAGATATACTCAAGACCCCTGAGAATGCTCCTGCAGATACTAGCGAGATCGATCTCACTTAACTGCACGGCGGGAGTTAAGCCGACTTGCGAAAGATTGACAGCAAATCCACAGTAATTGTAAACTAAATGAGTGGCTTTACCATCGTAGAAAGCCTCTACAAGGCCCACTATATTTTCGTGGAACGCAACTTGCAGTTTAAAGAAGCTAGTAAGCTTTCTGTCGGCGGTCTTTGTTTTGATCAAGACAGTTGAGTATCCAAAATAGTTGCCAAGGCTTAGCCATCCGCAACCCACCTGATCGACTTTCCAATTCATAGAATACTTCAGGGTAGGGTGTCCAAGGTGGGGTAGGTCATATCTCATTGGTATTTCAATACGTTGAGATCTCAGCACAAAGTATAATTGAAAAACTCACCTTTCAGGATTAGGCCTATCACAATCGAGGGTTCCAAATTGCCATTAGGGATTATTCTCAGCGATAGCTATTAGGGAAGGATTATTCAAATCTTCAGCTTGGGTCATCTTTAGCATATTAGAATTGACTAATGTTAGCTAGCTACTGATACATACCGAAGGTGGTATACTTTATCGTAATTTCCATTCGGTCAAGCTTGGCTCATTTTCTTAGAGCGTAAGCGGTCGGTTTTCGCTATATACCTTTCCGGTGTCGCGGATGGCAGATAATACCCGAAGTTATGATGGGGTCACTGCCTGTCATATTGTGATTGGGCCGCGGCAAAAGTAAAAGCTAGTGCTTTTCTAATATTGAGCCAGTCCTCAGACACTGGACTGAAGCTCCAGGTGCTCGCAAAACACAGTGGCAGCCACGTAAGCAGAGTTGCGGACACGAAAGCAGAGTTGCGGACATGAAGCAGAGTTGCGGATACAAGTCGCGCACACGGAAGCACCCTCCTTTTTCTCCTCGCACCGGCGGGCGTTCAAACCCCCTTTTTGCCCCGCAAAACCCTAACATAGACATTAGCGGCTACAGAGATATGATTATGCACTCGGGCCGGTCATGCCAATAAAGGCCACTCGGTTTTTATCAACGCTAACCATCAGGAGAGATAATGGAGACGTATAAATATGCCCCTGGTGTCTGCTAAAGTAAATGAAGAAGTTTTTATCTTCTCCCGCATAGATGACTACTTTTACCATCACTCATTTTCCGACTACACCGGAAGCAATTTACGGAGCGGTCGTCGGTTTTATCGCTTTCTCATTCCTATTGTATCGTCTTACTTTATGCACTTGCTCGTTCTTATCAACCTCTCCTTTCTTATCTTCTCGTGTTCGGCCTTTCTTATTGCGCCATATGATTTATGCCCGGTCCTACTGGCGGTTCCTCGGATTTGGATGTATATCAAGGACCCATTTAATACTCACAGTTGTTTATTTTACCGGCACTGGCGTCAGTAATGTTGTGCGGGTCCATTCCGTTCAAGATACTGGCAAGAGAGCAGCAAAGCTCTCTCTTATTAACTTGTATCCAATGTTTTTAGGCGGTGGTTACGAGTTTGCTGCTTGTCTTCTTGGAATTTCCTCTCCAGTCCTATGGATTTCTACATCGAACATTTGCGTTAGTGGCTCTATTTGAGGCTCTAGCTCATGTCATAATCGTTGCTCGATCGAGGCTGATTTCATAGGAAAACGAAATGCAATTTTACAGTCTCCTAGTAAGCTTTCCCGGTTTCTCTAAATTGTGTATATATACTAAACCTTAGCCAAGGCCGCTAGTATATTCCTGGCTTTAATGGTTCTACCACTAGTTAAAAAAAGGGTCTACGAAGTATTTCTTATAACCCATATTAGATGCGCGGCGACAATGATTTACACAGTATAGCAGTATACCCGATCAGCTAAAGGGAACTTTTGGGTATTTCTACTAGTATTCATATATACCCTCATTATCACAGGGCTATTACAGCTAATTCGTATTATCTATCGTAATACAGTGGTAGGAAGAAGCCATATCCAAATGAATTTATAACCCTATATAGGTAATGTCGTTCGAATGATACTATCATTACCTAGACCATAGGTCGTGCGCGCCAGTCAACGTATGAACCTAGGCGTTCCCTCCGTTAGAATATTTTATATTTTTCAATCGCACCCTTTTACAATCAGTTGGTAGGAGAATGATATCAATGGCCGGGCGGTTTCAATCTCAATTCTACTTCGGCCCTGGTCTGGTTTCACAAAGAGACTGTTCGATCACATTGAACCAAATAGAGACTGCGGGGCTTAGATTAACGGCCCTTTTGGCCCATCGTCTATTAATTGGAATTTAAACAGCAAAGTCGGCGACTATAGACATGCCTTTTTTATTACTACCGGTATCGGCATCACAGCTCAGTTACCATATATCAAGGAGCTCCTCGATAGCTATAAAAAGGCTCAAATATACATACGGAGAATATCACTCGTCTAGCAGTTAGATAGGATTGGTGACTATGAGAGTGCACGAGACTTACTACAGTTCCTCGTCAGGCAAGATAATGGATACGTCAGTACACAGTTCTATATCGACGACGCTATATACTTACGCTAAGCAGATGCTTCATATCTCAATTTATGATCCACTAGGTGCTCAGTCGGAAGATGATATCCAGCACATTGGTGAGAATAGGCTCATCGATGTCCATAGCGGACGCGCCATCTGGGAAAAGCAGCTCGATATAGAGATAGAAAGCCAAATGGGGAAAATGCTAGTACTTGGTAAGCCTTGTTCTCGTCATCTAATACGAACTGGCCCACTCATCATGAAATTAGTGTGTGCGCAGGCCCAAACTCGGCATGATATCAGGAACTTGGTTAGGTCACACGTAAATAAGAACGTCGAGTTATTCGAACCTGAGTTTCAGCCTTGGGGTCAAACTGGAAGCTTACGCGCCTTCCTCAAGCCGTGAGAGAGAGAGAACGGAAGGAGTACAAAGCGTCGGACGCTAGAGTGAATGGTATAGTCGCAGAGTTAGGGTAGACACAGTCACGTGGGATTACTGGTATTCTACGTCAGCATCGAGTCGCTAGGGTTCTGATGTGCTATGTAGGAAGAAACAAGAGGGCAGAATGATATGTTGAAATATTGCGGCGCCCCGCGAAAGCAATAGGCCAAGCCAAAGAAATCGTGGCGGTGGTAACCATCCATCGAGCGTCTAGTTAACCAACATCCAGGAAATTAAGGGAGGAAGCGATAGGCTACTTCGAAGGCATCATGGCATAAGGGAACCGGTGAAAAAGTAAACGTACAGTAACCGTGCCAAGCGCCCAACCCCCAGGAACTGGGGGTTGGTGCGCCCCATTAGATACCCATTTTTCACCAGGTACCCAATCTGCAATTTATGTATCTTTTGTATGAATTTCCCATACAAAAGATACTTATATACCTCGTAGACACTATGCAAAATTTCTCAACCTTCGAACTAGTTAGGGAAGATATAAGAAGAGATATATAACTATTAGTATAACTAATAGAAGTCTATTTCATTTAATAATAGGTTAGTAAGGAATATCAAGTGAACTCAAAAAGAAAAAAAGCATGTGATACATATAACTTCATTTATAGTGTCTTTTTTAAAGTCTTTGTCCTTTATCCACGTTAGATATTGAGAATTAATACTAGTGTTAAATTAATTACACTAGACTTATATTACATTTATACTCTTTCTCTTACTTTAGCTAGTCCAAGGGCTGAGAAATTTTGCATAGGGCGCACCAACACACCAACGGTGGGTGTGAGCGCTTGGCACGGTTAGTATTCGAAATCAGTTTCAAATCCACACTCTTGCGACTTGATTCGCGAACCCTGACTTGACACACCCTAGCTCACATTAGGAATAGTGGTGTGTCTATGACTTCCAATAATAAAATTGTATTTTACATGACGTAGGAGGGACCCTGCCTTGTGTATCTTACTTGAAAATGCCATAGTTACCATCCACCCTAAGTAGGAGGAGGCATCTTCACCCGCTTATCTCTCTTAAATGTCACAATTGACCTCACAGAATGGCTCCGACACATAATTCTATCATTTAAGCTGCATCTATACTCGACATGATATAGAGCCAGTCACTTGGCACAGTTAAAATGACTGAAGAAGCAGAATGTAGTCCGGCTACGATTATAAATATTCGCATACAGTAATCCTGCGACAATTTGGAAATGTGTACGCACCCTCCCCCCCCCCCCCCCCCCCCACCCCAACCCGAATAGGATGGAAACGGACTAGTTATAACACCACTAATAATCGAAGTCCTTGGCGAACACCTGTCTGAAAAGCCCGGCCATGACAAAACCGCCGACTTCGTTCCTGGTGCTTGGCAGGGCTACCATGTGGCATCAACGCCCGGATGACGATCAATTGCATTGCTCCAAATAGTTCAGCCAATGACGCAGGCCAGGAATCCAGTACAAAGCTCCACCCGCATCAGCACATTCCTCAAGAGCATCTAGTTGATCCCGGGTCCGTCGCTCAAGATCGAAGAGCCCTTGACGATTTAAAACGTCACACTGGGAGAGGAGGATTATGCGTGTTGTGCGTCCGCTGGCTAAGTTGAATCCTCGAAGGTTACTCATCGCTTCTGTCCAGTAGCGGAAGGCCTCCTCAAATTGGGACCGAACGTGAGATAGCTTAGCTTGGACAATTGCTAGGCGTAATTTATCCATCTTCATGAGCTTCAGTTGGCATTGGAACACGCGGCAGAGCGTTTCCTCTACCCCTCCAAGTCTCTTCTGTGCAAAAAGACATTCTGCAAGAGCAATGATCAATGCACCCTGCTTTGGAGCTTGACGGTTGATCGCAGCCTGGAGACAGCTCTCGGCTTTGGCAGGGTCGTCCAGCTCAAGATACGTATCAGCCAAGCTACATGCCAGCTCGCTTGTATCTTCAAGATAAATAAGATCCCTGGCGGTATTCGTAATGTTCTGGGATCTCTCCAGGTATGACAACGATCCTACAAAGTCGCCTCGGTAGCGTAATATCTTGCCCATGGTCAATTGCTGACGAAAGAGAACAGCCTGTTCCATTGCAGAATGTGCCCAGGAAGTCGGCTGCCATATCCCTAACACTTCCGTTGCTTCGGTAAGTTGATCAAGCTGGATGTGATTTAGGGCATGTTGGATCATGGTATTCCCATACGCAGCATGTAGCTTTCTGTTGCCTTGATAAGAGGCACCGCCCGTTAGGGAAATGAAAGCAAGATCTATCTTACCGGAGAGCCGGTGGATCAGGCATTGTCTCTGCGTGAGGCATGAACGCATGTAGCTGTCGTCTAAGCCAACCGTGAGTTCTTCTGCATGTCTGATCGCGGACTGCTTCCACTCCATAACAGAGAAGCGAGCAGATTCAATAACGTTGAGAGCTATATCAATCCTAGCCATAGGAGTCATGTCCTCAACTTTACAATAGCGTCGAGCTCGTTCCAGGGTGTATCGAACGTGCGATACTAATAGGTTTGCGTCAAGTTCTCTGTAGGTGTGTTAGTCGCTAGAGGCTCAATCGGGACGGTAGAATTACGTCTGCTCCAGATACTTCCAGGGGATCGAACGGGACGCCAGGATGAGAGCTTGTAGACACCAAAATGAATGAGTACTGCTAGAAAACATATTTAGCATCCCATTTCTTGCTCTCTCGCTCAGCTTGAAACGCGAGTTGGATACCCAGTCAATAGCCAAGGATGATTGGAGTTTGGACAATACTTTCGTCAGCGTGTCAGGGGAACATATGCGTATCAAATCATCAGAAAGGCCCAATTCAGCTGAATCTCCTTCGACAATGTCTCCATCTTTACCCCAGCGCTTCCGAGGGGAAGCTCCGCGGCACAGGAGATCTGCCGGGACTTCGTAGTTTGCGAGATAGGACAGAAGTATCATCAGACGTGCAGAGTCGGCACACCCGGTGGCCTTCAGATGTGGTATCACTTCAAAGACCATGGCTATGGATCTGGTATCGTCGCTTAGAACCGCCTCGTTCCTTCCTTCACAACGGCTGAAACCCAGCATCGTGTGCTTTGGAGTGTTTACGAAGCTAAGATGCACTGTAAATGTGTCAGCATCGTAGAATACTTGGAGTTATATACCATACATTTCACTTCTTTGATGAGATTGCCAGCCAACTCGCTTAGCTCTTTCGCTTCACGCAATGTATTCGACTTTTTTAGGAGTTTGTCAAGAGCATTCCGCCATTGACTCTCAGCATAGCGTTCCCAGCTAACTAGTAGATTAGCCAAGATCGTGCGTATTCATTCCAATACTTACATGTATCCCTTTTCCAGAACAAGGAGAATTCCAGTAAGCGGTTGGTCTGATTCCCGTGAAATCCAGGACACAATAGCATGCCATCGTCTGCCGATCCTACGAGCGTTGTATATCGTATTTTCGGGGGATTCCACATGTCCTAGCGTAGCTTGCGCTTGATGCACTAAAGTTTTGATGGACTTGTTTTTCATGTGTAGTTCAGCTAACACGTACCGGACAAGCCGCTTCCACTTTTCGGTACCAGTACAGCATGTCTGTGTGATAGTGGAAATTACCATCCTCGTGCTAATCTGAACACCCAGCTCCAGCTTAACATAGGAATGGTCAGGGTTGACCTCTACCTTAGACGACATTGTGTTGAAGGTTAGCATAGGTTCCTAGAGCGGGGTTGGCACATTGACACACAATCGATCCATGTTTGTTTTGAAATTTTGAGTTTGCACTAATCCCGAAATGGCCCAATTTTGTACGACGTACAAAATCTATCCAAATTGGGTCTAGATGATTTAGAACCTTGCACTAAGCCAAGGTTCCGTCTGTTCGCCTGCTGGAACAGCACAGGTCATACCAGTATGGGCGACGGATCGGACCACTACGACAAAACTAATTTTTGGCTCACCGCTCTAATCACCGCCTATATGATTATGGTCTTGGGCCTGTATGTAATATTGCAACCTCTTTACATTTACCTCTAGTATATGTCTATCAATTAACCTTGAACCTTTTAAGAGTAGATTACCTCTCTCTATAATGGCAGTACCATATTTGAGAGAGGAGAGTGTACTATGTAAAGAATACGTGTACTTTGGAAAATATCAATTTGCGTAAGGAGGAGAAGATGGTGGTATACGGGGAGGTCATATGACCTGGAATAATCTACTAGGTATAAAATAGTCTTGGTATTCATAAAATTGCTTAGTTATCGATGCTATAAGGTTCTAGTTATTCCTCTGTCTTAATGCCCTATACCAGAATTCACCGCCTTTTAGAATTCTACTAGTTCTACCGATTTGAAACTCCTAGTCGGCAGTATATTTAATAGGAAGGCGGTCCAGGAAGACATTTTCCTCCCGAAACAATACTTACTTACTCAGGTATACTTACTTGTCAGCTTCTAATAGTCGTAATTAGTTTGAAATTTATAACTCTTTTAGAGAGGGGCATTTTAATTAATTAGACCTTCAAATTTGAACTTAATGCGACCGTTGGAAAGTGAGTAATTAGAGAAAATATAAATTGCTGTATACTCATTACAGCTGTGGAACAGCGTATGGCTAGCTGACTAATTTTCTGCTCGGCAGAAAATTAGTTTTGTCGTAGTGGTCCGATCCGTCGCCCATATACCAGGAGAGGTATGCTGAGCTGTAGTAGGTACTAAAGGCAGGGTCTACCCTTCATTTTGCACAGACAAAATAGTTGTCTCTCTTGTCTACACTGCCAACATCCGATGCGCTATGTCGAACCGCCCTATAGAGGACATTATCTCCTGCCTGGCAGTAAACACAGAAAAGAGTCTCCCAAATGCTGATATCAAAGGTCACTTTTTGATAGAGCTGGTAATTGTTACCAATAGCTGGGAGATACGTGTTCCCACAGGCCAAGGTGATGTTCGTCTTCGACACACGGAAGAAGGGCAGAGGGTTGGGGTGTATATCGCGGGTGACAAGTTGAGGCATTCAGGCAAAGAAGAGATGAATGCAGTATTGCAAGCGTCTTGTGTGTTGCAGGCGATCTGGGAGAACCCTCAAATTGGTCGTACCTGGATTGTCCAGTAAGTGTCCCCTTCAGTCAAACTTATTTCCATAATAACAGAAAATAGTTGCGAGGGAGTGCCAAAGTATCTGTTAGTATCTCACTAATAGTCGGCAAGGCACATCTAACATATCAGAAGATTTAATCTATACGCGGCTCTCAACAAAGACACTCGGAAACTCCAAACTTGTTCCTGTCACTGGGATAAAGTTTCAGCCATCGCCCGCCGGCAACTTGAGACTCTTAAGGGAGAGCTCAACGTCAACTGCAACGACCCCGAACTATATAGAAAACAGGAAATGTTTCATGTCCCGGGAGGAAGTGATGTTCGCCACATCCTTGATGATTACCAACACCAACTACAATTGCTGGAAATAGGTGGAAGGAAGAGATTGGAAGCAGCGAAACACACAGACTATACAGTAGAGTGACAGAGTCTGACTCGAAGACTGTTGCTCTAGTACTCTTCGTATTGTATCTAGTGGTAATAATACTGGTTATGATAGCGGCGTCGATCTTTCGGCTAGATACTGGATATGATAGAGAACCAGGCCCACGTATTTCCAGCCTACCCTCTTCCATAGCTAGGAGGAAGACAAGGGGGGTGAGGTGGATGGCCTAGAGGGAGCGCAAAACATTGCGATACTCAATCGTTGTACGCCAAAGTTATTGTGGCATTCCGGGCCTGGACCGCGGACTCTATGCACGCAAGCCCGAACTTGGTCACGTCCGAGTAAACGCTGGAGTCTAGTGCCTGCAAAGACGACTACCTCAGGGGCTCCATCACCAACAGTAGGAACGTGCATAAAAGACGCCTCCGACCCAACCCCTTCACTGTTTTGTTTCTCTGTTGTTTCAAGATCCGCAATTTCCAGGCCGTCGTTCTTATCATGAGACCGGAATAAAATAGTTAATGTTCCACTATCTTTGTGGGGGGACTAAAATGGCCGCTGAAGTCAGGATCGCTTCCAGAATCATAATAGTGGATCCCGATAGTGGCAGAATTGAGGAGCGTCGTGCCCGTTAGGGGAGTGTTCAAATCCAATGCCTGCGACATAGTCTTCAACAATTGCAACCTTATAGGGGTCCATTCCTTAAAGAAAAGGAAAATCAGCACGATACACAATAAGAGGGAGAAGACAAGGACGGTTTACCTCGTGAAGAGATTTGACTGAACGATATAAGTTGCGAGAGGGACCATTGAGATTGTTCGGCTCGGCGTCATTCCGGAAAAAATAGATACTCTCTTTAGGTATCTCAGTCCTACCAAGAACACGTTCCGAAGCAAAGGGCGAGTATCCCATTATATCTGTCTTAGCTGCGATCGGTTGTCGGAAAAAGCCCCGTGCCTAAAGAGTGCGGTCAGTGATGGATGCTATTCCTGGAAAGTGGGTTTAGCCTGCATTTTCAATGACAACGTTGGGACAGCGTTGCGTGGTTTCAGGGGGTGCTGCTAGGCGGAAAGCTCCAAACCGACGAAGGGCAAGTTTCAGGTCAGAGACCAGAGTGGATGATATAGGTTTATTCAAATGAATCAAAGGTAGTTTGGCAGACATTCTGATGCACGCATCCGTATGTACGTGAGGGACTTGACGACGAAGCAAGCGAGATCTCCAAGCACCTGAAGTCTCGAAAGGTTTGCAGAGTTTGCAGGGTTTGCATTACTTAGCGGCCTCAGGCTCTGAAGAGGGAGTTAATGCCTGAGGCCAACAGGCCCTGTCGGCGTGGGCCGTATCGTAAATGTAGGGGTCCAATCAATGGTATTCAACTCTCTGTATTTCTGTATCGGCTCTCCTTACAATTTATAGTTAGTTATGGAGCCTTGATTACATAACATTAATTACAAAACATGTAGGATTAATAAATCCTCCGGTATGCCGGTCGTCATACTCCGACAGGCCCAGGGAGTAGCTCGCTTGTAGAGAAACAAGTTGCCTACCAGGATAAATTCTCTATAGCGTCACCACAGGCTTCTTTTGGATGCGAAAGAGTCCAGGCGAAGGCTGCACGTGGCAAACTGACCAAGACAGAGAGAATGAAAGATATTCCCAGATTGTTACAGTACAGCAGACGCAAACATGAATTCTGAAGCTGTATTTTGGTCCCTCTCAAGACTGAACTGGTCAGATGATATGTAAGATTCTCTTTTATTTGATCTGTTTGCACGATGGATTCTATCGGTTTCTACTGTACAAGAAATGACGGTACTATAATGTCGAATACCAAGGCCGAGTCCACTCGACAATTCGGCTGCCATACAAAGTGCATCGTTTTATTAGGTAAGCAATTACCGCATAGAAGCCATAAAAAGCGGATTTTGTCAAATTAGAACGATAGAGAAAATACAATCTGTTATTTACCATACATTGTTCGTGTGCCTGATTTCTGTCATATAACAATGACTCATAGTGGTTACCAGGGAATACAATATAGCCCTACATGGATTAACAGGGTCTCCACTTAGGATCTAGGAATTAAATTGGAAGAGTTTAAAGTTAAAACTGATTTAGTATTCCACTGTATCATGGTCTTAGAACTCTTCCACGAATTTGATAAAAGAATATCTGGCATGACATGATACTAGTGTGAAAACTACTTGAAAGTCATCGCTCTTAACCATATCATGGCCCAATTCATCCTTTAATAGAAACAAGTCTAAATCAATAGCACCCACTAAGACCTGCTTATCACGTATCGCACATAAGTAGATCGGGGAAATTATTAACAGTGGACCGATCATCAGTTGAAAGAGACGAGGGTACACTCTCATCTTGCCGCTGCTCATGGTTTTCGGTGTCATGATCACCTGCGGGAAAGCCGAGAAATGCCTCTGCGAGAGATGTTTTCAAGTCCTGTAGCATCTCTTCGCGAGCAGAAAGAGCCCCCTGAAGATAGGTGTTCAGCTCTCGCTGACGCTGGTTTTCTTGAAGAAGTTGTTCCATATTTTGGCTTTTCTGAGTGCCATCGTTATCATTCAAAGAACAAAGCATTTCATCAATTGCTGGATACAAATGAATGAGACGAGATTCAAGCTGGTTCACTTTGTTTCTTTGAAGGTTGAGGTTGTTGGACATAACCTGACAAGATTCCACCGCGAATCGTAATGAAGTCTCTTGCTGCGATCGTATGTACTCCAAGGCAGAGACTTTTCTCTCGACCTGAACGCAATAATCCCTCAATTTTAGATACGTAGAAGAATCCACATTGATTTTAGACTCGAGGTGTCCGTGGTAGCGCCTAGATTCTTGCTCCTGGCGTAATAACTTGTCCATCAGAGAATAAAGTCGTTTCTGATAATTGAATGTGGGGTCATGTCCCTAGGAAAGATAATCAAATCAATACTTGTCTGGTATATTGATTTTTTACGCTTTCTTCAACCTCGTACATACCTCAGCCGGGTTGTCCATGGACGGACTTCTACCATGTTCTGACATTTCGCTGGTGAATAGAAAGTGACTGGAAGTTGTTTTGTCGGTTTGGGAGTGGCTAATACCAGTGTATATAAATGTTCAACAGCGTAAATACAAGAATCCAGGAACATGGGTCGCAGCAAAAATAATAAATGACCCCGCTTGGGTCAGGTATGATGGATATAAAATCG